AGTTTCCCCTGCAAAGGGATGTAGGTTTGGTTCAATTACTGTAGAGGACACATTTTCTTCATTTGCATTTCTGGAATGAGCAGTTGGTAGCAGATTTTTTGTTTGGTATTGTACAAAAGAACTGTATTGGAGTGCATTGGTTTTGTTTATGAAAATGAAGCCATATTCAGGGAATTTGGACAGCTGTAAGAATGGGATATTCAATGAATTTTTGCTGCAACCTTTGTAAACTTGTTATAATCAAGGGGGTCCTGAAAAGTTGTCAAGTAGTTTCCCCTCCCCCAATCTAATCTAATGTTTGGTCAAATTTTGGGAGGTGGGCTGGGCCACAACCTTTTCATCACTACCTTGTACATGATAAAGGGAACTAGTTAAAAGGATATGGTGGAAGTGAGTTGTTAGAGTAAGTATTTTTTCCATGGACAAGGATGTGCTGGTGGTATAATTAATAATGGCTCAATGAAAAATTGGAGTTGAGCTCAAATTCCAGTTATGTTTGTTATATTCACTTGTATGCAAATCCGCTTGGGAAAGGTATGGATACACCTCTTCTCTCCTCAGCTATGGGACTTGTATCTGGAAAAATCATTGTTATTCTCAAAAAATTGTTAATGTAATATTCACTTGCCAAAGAAATTCTTAGTATCTGAAATATATTTTGGCTTTAAATAACCCATAAAGGGTTGATAAGCAGTATTTTTTTTAATATTTGGGAACTTGCACTAAGAAGGAGAAATATTTTTTCTTGGGAATTTTATGTTAGTGTTGTTCTAGATTGGGTGGGGGTGGTAGTCAGAGACACAAAAAAAAGCAAGAAAAATATGATATAAATATTATGTTAATTTTACTGAATTTTGTGTTGGAGGGCTCCAAAATTCACTTGCTAATGTTCATTTTTGAAAAAGACTGTTACATTAAACCTTTCTGTCATTTATAGCATTCACTTTAACAAGATTCCAATGACTTTCCCAGCAAAAAGAAACAAAAAAGACAACTGCCTAGAACTGTTACTCTACAAATAAACGATTAAATGTGCAAATTTTGATTACAAGCATAATTTGACAAATACTTGGGAGTTAGGACAAAGTTAGACCAGTTTTGAAATCTTGAGTCTGTTCACTTTCAGACTAGATATAGCACATATCACTTGGGAAATATTCCAAAAATGACAAATGTCCACTTGCAAGTCAACTGTGTAAATTGCATGTATGTATGTATGTATGTATGTATATGCACACAATGATCTCTCTAACTCTAGAAGTGAGACCTCAGATTTGCCAGCCTGCAGTTTGCTGCTTTAGCCATAGAATCAAACTTGCAAGTGTAGTTATGCTCTATTACCTCTTTGTATTGTTTAGTTTTTCAGCTGAAACAGTGTGTCATGGTGTACCACTTTGAAACAGACATGGAAATTTTACAAGTTATGACACACAAAACTAGCTACCCTGCAAGTGTACTTTAGACAGCACAGCCGCATAATTACATTTCAACAACCACTGTATCACATAGGATTTTTATGGTTCCACTACAAAGTGAGTACAGTAGATGAACTAAGTTCAAAATTTCATGAGACCCTTCTGTAAAGAAGAAAATTCCTTGCCCTATGTAGTGAACTTTGGAAATTCATTGGCAAAAATATCTGTTAGCCTCCTGACGAAAAACTTACAATGTGAACCACTTCAACCACTTAATTGGTGGGAGGGTCTTACTTGAAAATAAAGTATTAAAAATGATTAAGAATAAGTAACTAAAAAGTATTATTAATTAATAAAATACTGTTAAAATTAAATGTATATTATGGATAAACAGGAGTAGAAAGTTATTTGTAAACACACAAAAAAATTGACCTTTTGATCATTTTTAAATATACATTCTTTTAATTGGAAATTATGAATCAACAACCATCAAATATGAATGATTGCTGTTAAGTAAACTCCTGCTTTATTTTACAGAATTATTTAAAAAATAATTTTAATATGAGATACAGAGAGCACAGAATGGATAAATAGCAAATAACTGTAGATTTAGAAATAAATAACCTTGATTGAGAAAAATGTTTTTAAACCATGTGAATATTATGTTTGTTCAGCATTTATAAATATATAAAAAGTTAAACATTTTTCATTGTCTAAATCAATTTTGATTTACCACACTAAAATGTTTAAGAATCTCTTCAAGCATTATTAAAGACATTTTTATGATATGCTATAAGTTTTAAAATAGCATATTAAATAATAATAAATGTTTTTAGCAAATTTTTAATTGCTTCCTTTTCTAGTTTTAAAGACTGACTTACAACTTAATTTTTATATTTGTATCTTGTATATAAATGAATATATTAAAAATACTAACAAGGATGGATACAATAAATGAATTTTGGAAAGTTAATTCTGATATAAAACAACATAGTCGGAAATTAGAAAAACTAAATAAAAGGTTGAACTTGTTTGAAAAAACTGTTGCCGCCTAAATATATCTTATTTAAATGAATATATATATATACTAAATATGTAGTAGGCAGGAACAATTCCAGGCTAAACACGGATATTTTAAAAAGTGGTCAGTACACTGTTCAGAATGGAATGTGTAGAGTAGATTAATACCATAAAAAGAATAAATGTAATTTATCTCACCACCTGATGATATATTACGGTTGAAACCTGGGTAGTAAATAAGGTAAACATTTTAATCTTTTTATGGTGTGTGTGTGTGTGTTTGCACTTGTAAAATGTTTGGATTAAATTCAATCAGGTTTTCTATAGATATTTATACTTTAAATATTGTAGTATTATCTAATTCTAGACTATTATTATTATAAAGGAACAGACTTCTTTCTTTTTCCTCCTCTCAATTTTATTTTTCACTTCTTGTATTTATGAATTTTGGCTGATTTGTATAGACTGAACTTGATACCACATAATGTCAACTAGTTACAATGGGATATGCTTTTGTTGTCAACCTCTACATTAAACAGGTGAATGTAAATTCACTAGAGGAGATAAGACTTATAGACAACATAAAAACTGCAATATATTGCTTGTCATGTTAATAAAAGTTTATTAAAAATGTTCCTTGTAGGAGGTCCATGGGAAATTTGATTGAAATCAAATTGTTGAAAAGTTTAGAGGTCACCCTCACTAAGTTAAAATTTTTATTAGAAATACTTTTGTTTCCTTTTTCAAATATGTTTCTTGAGCTCAATTAATCTCCCACAAAGAATTCCTGTTTTTATTTGATACATCCAGGCTGCTTATTTGTGAATGCTTTTTCTTTATTTCTTTTTTGATGTTATTTTTTCTTCTCATTTTACAATTAACATATTCTGAAGAAATAATTTTGATAGGAACAGTTGGTGATGCATGAAATTGCAATTTGTAAGGTCATTTGATAATTTCTCAGATCAATGTGTAGTAGCTGTTCATTCTTTGGGTGAGGTGTGAGATTGTTTATATATTTTGATAATTCTATTTAGCTTTGTACAGTGAGGAATTTTCAAAACTGATATCCACACCTTAAAATGTATAAATAAAATTGAATTTCTAATAAAATGCCTCAATGAGTTTATTTGTAAAATTTCATGGAAAAAAGTTTCAATTTCTCAGTTTTTGTATTACAGAATGCTTTTTTATACTGTTTTAAATATTAGAATCAAACCTTTCAGATCTTAATATAATGGTGCAATTATCAGTTTGAAACCAACTTTGAAACTAATCAAATAGCCATGATTAAACTTGATTTCTCACTCTCTCTCCCTGATTTTTATTTTAAATTTTCTTCTCTTGTATTTTATTTTTAATTTAACTTTATCAAAATAATTTCCAGTTTGTAAAGAAAATGTTAGTGTAATATGAGGCCCCAAAGCACAAAAAAAGGATTTTTAAAGAAACAAAGTGTATAGAAAGAAATAAGTAAAATTCCAATTATCAAAGATTTTTTTCAGAATGAAGGCCAGCTTTTCCAATGAATATATTTTATAACATTTTCTCAAGTGGTGAAGAGAACATATTGATAGGTTACAAACTTAGTGCCTGCAATTGAAATACTAATGGTTCCTAGGTCAATACTATTTTTTATTGTTATCATAAAAATAATCAATTGCTAATTGTTAATTCTTTTCTTTTATATTTGTCTTGAAATATCAAAGTTTAATGAATGGTCAACAAACTACACTTGTAAACCGTTTTTTACTGTAGTAAGTTTGTTTATGATCTTGTACAAGACTAACCTTCATGCTTAAGACCTGCTATGCCATGTACATTGTAATGAACCACCTTCTTTCCCTTTATATTCCATTGTTGAGATGTAAGTTCCACATGAGTAGCTTCCCTCCTATGAGCTGCCACTTTGTAGAATCAGCTTACAAGAAGATGCTTCCCTGATCACTAACATTTTAACCTGTCCAATTCTAGAATTAACTGTTATCTTTTTCACATATCTCCATAAACTGTGTTTCTTATTCTCTACCTTGAGTGGCTTTTGGGCCTTGTATTATTGTGTAAAAAAAAAAAAATCTAGACAAGGTTAAAAGTTTAAGGTAAAAATCTTGAATTTAACTGACAAAGAGAATTGTTAAAATTTCTGTAGATTCTTGTGTAAAAAATAACATTAATATGGCAAATGATCAAGGTGGAGAATGTCTTACCGGCAAATAACCTCTCTCTCTCTCTCTCTCTCTCTATATATATATATATATATATATATATATATATATATTGTTTTTTATACTTTTTCACTTATTCTTCAAGATGCTTTTGTGACAAAATAGAAACTAATAAATCAAAAGATAATTAAATTGCTTCTTTTTTGATTTAATGTCTGCTTTTTAGTTGCCTTAAAACTTGAAACTTTGTGCGTCTTGTCACCATAAGTAAAAATTTTTCAAATTAAATCTCCAACAATATGACTAAGTCTCCGACACTGTTTCCTTGTTTGTTATCCAATCCTTTTCTGTTTTTGTGAAACTCTCAACTATTAACAGTTATTTTTTCCTTTGTTTCCAGGTTCAACGGCAAGTGATAACAAACTTGACTACAAGAGATGAGGCCTTGGAATACATTGAGAAATTATGCCTCCAGCTCCTTTTCACATTATGTGCCGTGCCACTACATACAATCCAGGATGTCGAAGAACGTGTCCAGAAGGTGATCCCAACGTCCATCAATGTATGGACAATACGGGAAGCCCAGGGTGCCCTCGAGAAGGGCAAAAAGAATACCCTGGTGCTACCTGTAGAAAAGGTCCACAACCTCCTTGTCAAGGTGAGCATGTTTGATTCACTTTCCTGTTAAGCTTGCATTGTATTTGCTTACTTTTCTGCATTCCTCCAATCCTATCTTCATGCAACTAAGAAAATCTTAACACAAAAAGGACAGGCTTGTTTATAATTTACATTCATGTCATTTTTCAGCAACAAAATTGCTGATGTTTAGTAATCTAGATGTTGAATTGTCCACATGTGTGACTTGTTTGTCTTGGATGTGTCTTTAAAAAAAAAAAAAAAAAAATGGCATAGAAAGAGCACAGGAAATGAAGTTGCATTATAAATATCTTTCAACTCTAAAACTGGGTTGATTTCTTAAAATATTTACACCTCTCTAATAACTAATGAGATTAAGGAATATTATTCAAGACTTAGAAGTTATGAGAAAATAACAAATTAGAATGAAGTTCAAATTTGCTAGTTTTTCAGGTCTTGCAATTCATGTCACTTCACCTGTTAAAATTCAGCAGCCTTATTGTTTAGTTTCATATTTATTTTGTTTTTACTACTACTACTATTCTGACAATTTGTTAATTCACTGTACTCAGAATAATATTTAGTGTACAAATAACTTATGGTAATTATTGTATTCTTAAAATTAAAGACTTAAATAACATCAGTAATACAAATAGTACGAGAAAATGAAGCACAAATCGCAAACTTATAAATATTTGCTCAATAACTAGCCATTTATGAGTCAAATTTGAATTTTGTAGTCACTTTATTGAAAAAAATACTTTTATAGATCAACACAGAAAAAATTCACTTGTATTATTATTGTTAGTCATTATTTGATGTTTTAATAGATGGAAATATACTTTTATCATTGTACATAATATCGAATTTTTGTCATTTATGGCCATCCATACTACAGCTGTCCTATTAGATACTTGTAAATTTAAGGAGGCTTTCATCATTTATGGGTAAGGAAAACTAAGACTATTGTGTGTCATTTTCTGTTTGTTACAAAGCAACATTCACTTTTATATAGATATTTACTTGATCAAATTCTTCTGGAAGGCAAAAAAGAACAGGCAGTTGAAAGTTTTATGCTAAATTTTTGAGAAGATGTTATCATATATTTTCCTAGGGAGAGAAATATCATATTTTAAAATCTATTAACCTTGTTCTTGTAAAATCCAGTTCTGTTTTTATCATAAATTAATGTTAGACCAATCATTAAGAAGTTGTCTGAAATTGCTCAGAACATTGTTTCTTGTAATCATTAAAAGACATGCATTACTTTTTCTATTGGAACCTTGACATTATAAGAGAAGGAAGACATGGTGAAGCCATAGCAGTGGCAGTAATAGAAGGGTTGAAATGTGAATGTGTGGCTGTATTCCAGTGGCTGGAGGCATTTGGTCAAGGAAGGTCATTGTATTGATTACAGAATAACTTATGGCAATCATTTATTTTGGGGAGGGGAGAGGCTCTATTGCCTTTACATATGTTTTATATAGAAATCTGTTTTTTGCAAACCTTTTGATTAACAAATTTAAATTAGATGGGCAGATTTCATTTATGTTTAAAAATTGGCATATATGACTATTCATCTTCATATTTCTTTAATGAAATTTATAATCATAATCCAACATTGTCTGGGGCACAGTGACAGTTGCTTAGTTCTGTATTTGCTGAATGAACCTGAAAGATGCTTTGGTGATAAAATATATGTCTACTGGATGGGATTGATATTTATACCAGGATCAGCATGGATTTTATAAGATTGATTACATTTAGAAGAGGAGGGTTAATTTTGGAGTCTGTTTTCCTTGATAAAAATTGTAGGCCATGATCTATTTATTTTCATTAGATCAATATTTTCATCAATAATTGTGCATTTTACTTGAAAATTGTCTTGTTTGCAAGTTTAAGTGCAGTGCTTATTCCTCTTCTAAAAGGTAAGCCTATTAGTTAATGGTATTGTGTAAGACAGTTACTACACTTTGATCCTTTTCAATATGCAGGACTATATATGTACAGTGAGGTGCAAAATTATCTATGTGGTACAATCAATTTCATTTAGAATAATGATTAATTTTTCAACTGCTGAAACATGATTTTTTTATATATAAAATTTAGAAATAATCTTAAGCATTAAATAAATACTTATTTCATTCATAGTACAGCAATATTATGAACATAAACATTTTCTGTCAAAAATCTCTTTTGACATATTGATCCATTCTTTGATAGAAAACCACTCTAGCTTTATTAAATTTAAAGGTTGTCTTGAATGAATCTTAACTTAAAGTTCTTGCCACAAGTTGGATTTGGGTCTGAACTCATTGCAGGCCAAAGTAAAAGTAAAAAATTTTTCACAATTGCATTTGTGTATTTAGGATCATTATCATGATGGAAACTAAAATGGCATTTTCCAAAAAGATACTGGCTGATTCTTTCAGATTTTTCTTTAAAATATCACTGTACTCTACTTTTTTTCCTGGTTCTGATGTTTTTAAACAAATCTTTCATTCCATTTCCACTAAAATACCCCAAAGAATAAGATTTCACACAAGAGACGTTGTTCCTAGCGTTAATAGCTTCTCCTTATTTAGGTAATTACTGATAACATTTTTATTGCTTACCATACGACATGGTAAATTTACTCCATTGTTTAACAAATCAGAACCAATATCTTTCAGTACAATTTTAGGGTTCTTCTTTCATTCACAGACAATCTTTGCAATCTTAGAAAGAATTTAGTCTTATGGCCCATTCCAACAAGAGCTGCAATGCTTTTTGTCTTGTGATATCTTTCGATGATTTACTGTACAATCGACTTGGATACTAAAAACTGCTTAAATGTTGGTTTAAAATCTATTCATGAATTGCATTTATTCATAATTCCTTGCTTTAAATACACAGACATCTTTGCTATGTCATTGTTGATACATGACTTGAAGTGAACAATATGCAAGTTCATTACAGTAAACTGAAGTTCTTTTAAAAAATTTACAACTCACAGATACAGCTTGATAAACTAGCTTGTCATAACATGGATATAAATATTATATATTTGATGAATTTCATAAATAATTTTATGGCATATGGATAATTTTGTCTTAATGTGTTTAAAATGTTATTGCATTGTATAAAAAGTTTCAGTGTTTATATGATGCCTAACATTATTTTTTATCTTATATATATATAAGTGATGGGATGCTTAATTGGAATCAAATATCAGAACTTTTTGGGGTATCAGAATTGGAGAATTTTAGAATTTTTGACCTAATTTCTGATTCCAAAAATGATTCTTTCGATTATTTTTTTGTTTAAAACTTAATTTTACATTCCTGGTACTAATGATAAAAATATATAAATATTTATTGATTTTAATCTATTAGTAAAACTAAAATCTGTAGATCATAATAACACCTAAGTTAAGTATGATGTAAATTTAAGGTGTGAAAAAAAAAAAAAAGTGTCTTAGTTTCTACTCAGCTCTTGAACTATCCATAAAGTTCGCTAGTTTAAATTCTGTTTCACTGTTTCAGTTCAAAATAAAATTTTTATTTTTCATTTCTTTTTAAATATTGTTAATTCACCCATTTAATATAATAAATTATTAATTTAATAATTATAATTAAAATTACGTAAAAAAACAAAACAAAATGAATTCACGTTGTTGTTCTACTGGACTCTCTTTTAAGACAATTTTTATTATTTTTTTTTTAATTTATAAAAAAGAAAAAAATGAATGTATGCCAATGTCACATTTGATTTCTTCACATAAAAAATTTTCCTTGTGTTATAAATTGTCCTTGTAGTTAGGCAGTTAAATTACAACAATTTTTTTTTATAATAGCTTTAATCCATAAAATCCTTTTTTTAGTCATGGTTATTGAAAAGATTTATTTTTGTTTACATAGCATACTATGCAAACAAAAAATAAATCTTTTTTTCAATAACAGAAACTTAAAAGAAGTAAACATTCTTTTTATGAAACTTAAATTTGTTTCTATGAAATTCATGTATTTTTTAAAATTTTATAGCTTTTGAAACGGATTTTCCTCTTTATTTACTTAAAAAAAATAAACAAACTTTTATTTGAAGTTTCCTGAATAAAATTTTTTATTAAAAAACCTAAAATTTAATTTCCATCAAAATTGTATTTAATTTTATTTTACTAATATTTTTCTTTGGCATAGTTGAACTTTCCTGTGTAAAATTATTATGGCATTTAAAATATTTTAAACTTTTTTTCTCATTTATTTCTTGGAGCCAAATGAGATGCAAGTTTTATAAATAGAAGTGTATAAAAAAGTTAAAAAAGAGTATTGTTATCTGGTGTGATTAAGCTATAGTTTTTTCCACTTTTAACATGATTTGTTTTAATATTTTTAAAATAAAACTAGTAAAAATTTCATCTTCTAATAATCTAATAAATAACTGAAAAAATCGATCCCATGCAAAAAATACACATTTATAGTTGTTCTCATCCTTATGAAGATTTTAATCATTTTTAGTCTTATTTTTATTTTAATGCTTTTTAACAGTTGAATCTCATACCTTTATAAAATGATCAAGTTGGATATCTGCATTATTTAGCTTTCAACTGCCTAATATTTTTAAAATTTTAATGTAAACTTTGCTAAAATTCCTTATATCTCTTTAAAAAAAACTCAAGGGATATGTTTTTAGCGTGTTGTTGCACTTTTACTCTTTTTTTTTCTTTTAACAAAAATAAAATGCTTTTTGATTCTTTTTAGAAATTATCAAATATTTAGTTGTGAGAAATTTATTTTGGACAGTAAAACTTTTTAGTGATTAAATTTTTTAGATAAGATTGAAGGCCCCTTATTATTTATTTATTTATTAAGTTGCTGTGATAATTCATATCTAATTCTCAAAGCAAATTTAAAATTTGAATTTATTTTTTATTCACTGTCCTGCAGCATTAGGTACTCTTTGTATTTTATCAAAATATATGCATGAGTTAAACCACAATATATAGGATGATGCCTATCTGCTTCAAGTATTATTGTCACAATATTATATACATATATATATTAGATTGTCTCTTATTTTCGAAGTGCATGCTGAAATTGAATTGTCACCCCTAAATTGGTTCCATTCATTGAAAAATGACAAAATTTTAAGGAGTTGCCTAATATTTAGAGGGTACTTTTACTTGTCTTAAAAGGTGGACAAAAATATACTTTTTTTGATTTTGCAATTAATAGCAAACAATTATTAGTTGAATCTTTACAAATTATAAACATTAGAAAACTAGAAACATTTTTTTATCTAATAGTGAAAAATTTAAATTTTGACAAATGTTTATTATTTTCAGACCCCAATTATGACGTGTGTATCCAATGCCAAGCAGAAAAATATAGTTTAGAAGTTTTTTAAGATTTCCGCTGATAACCAAAGTAAAGCAATATGACAACTGTAGCTAACTTAAGTGATTTACATAAAGAAATTGTTCTTTTTATTGTTTAAACTCTTACCCATTTTTTTAAATAAAATGGATATCTAACTTTATTTCATAAGCGTTTGTATTTTTTACTAAATGTTTTATTAATAAATGTACTTTGTTCATTAAGTTTCCCAAATTAACTGTAGGCCTGAAAATAATAAATTTTAATCATTGTTGGTATTGGAATCGTATTGGTATCGGGAATTGTATTGGAAATGGTAAAAATATTGGTTTCATCTCATCATATATATATATAACTGTTTTTTTCAATATTTTCAAAGTAAATTCTATTAGTTGAAATGAAATTGATTGTACTATATGGATAATTTTGTACCCCACTGTACTTGCATTGATTCACTCAGAGTACAATTCAGAATTACGACAGGTCTACAACTTTGAAAATATAAGAACTGCTAACTTATTAAAGTTACATTACAGTAAATATACTTAATATGATTTTCTCTCTTTTTTTATTTTATTGACTCCCGAGAATAACCTATAATTGTGGCTGGTTGATTCCACTATTTCTTCATGGTTTTGGAACCAAAAACCTGTTATGGAACAAATAAAAGTGATAAAAAACATTCTTGTTGACTTATTTGGTACTACAGAAGGTTCTTAATTAAAATTTAGTCTGTAAGCTGTGTATATTGTTTGTATAATTAAATAACAATTGACTAGCCTATTTTTTTCTCTCAAAAGCATAAGATTATATAACCATAAAATAAAGACAACACAGGGATTACATGAAGTCAAAAATAAGAATAGATAAACATTGAAAAAAATCCTTTGTTAAAATGATTTTCAAGTGGGTGATCTAAATAAATGCTTTTAAAGCAAAGTTTTTAACAACTGATTTTATGAATTGAGTTGAAGGGACTTTCTTTGGGGAATGACTTGATTTTGTTTTTGCCTTACAGGAGGTGTTCCGTTATAAAGTAGACTTTCAAGTAACCTTGTACATAGTTGCCGTCTTAGAATATATTGCTGCTGACATTCTTAAGGTAAGTGAGAAAGAAAGAGTGATTGGTTTTGTTTTCATTTTTTTTTTAAAGCATATCAGAATTTTTTAATAACAATAAGCCTTTAATATTTCTAACTGGGAACTAAGAAACATAGAAAATGTTTTTTAAATTTATTTCTTGTTCAACTATATTTAACACCAGGAAAAAGAATCCTGACATTATCTGACCATAAAAAGTTAAAATTGTTATCCTTAGCATTTTGTTAACATGTTAGCTAAAAATGTTATTTCAGCTTGCTTTATCCATCTCTTTAGACAATAATTGATATATTACTTGTAAGAATTTTTTCCTAATTGTAAATTAATTTTCTTTCATTTTATACCGTTGATTAAAACTGATTAAAAGAATAACAAAGAATTTTGTGTGTTCAGATAAAAATGATGAAAACAAAATATGTTGGTTGGACAGGAGGTTGTATTTTAAGGGAGGTAACTTTTCACTCCATATGAAGACAATTTTGAAAGTTAACTTAAGCAGGGTCATTTAAGCTTTGATAAAGCATAAATAAAAGCAAATAATTTTGTTTTACTGATTCACTTTAACCATAGCACCTAGCCATATAAGTGTATGTATGAATATAAATATTGTTATTTGTTTCTCTATTTATAGTATTAAAACAAAACCGGAAAGAAGGCTTTTTGTTATAACTGCTATAAGTTTTGCATAAGCAATGAATTAAATGCTTCCCTGCTACTCATATCTTTGTCTTTTTTTCTATTTTAGCTGACTGACAACTATGTGAAAAATATCAAACATGGCTGTGTGACACAGCAAGACATCAATGTGGCCATGAATGCAGATAAGGTAACATGTAAAATTGAAACTTTCTTTCCTACATTTTGTAATGTTCAGCACCAGTTTAAAAATTTATTTGATAAAATGAACATTCATTTTTTTTTTTTTAAATCCTGATAAAAATCAAAGAGCACTCGAAGAAATTGACAAAGACTTATCAATTTGGAGAAGGCTATAAGAAAATTTCCAAGTGTTTTGACATATGCCATTTCTTATCAGTTGTTCATAAATGAAAAGAAATTGATACTGTATCAATGCTTTCAAAATTGGGTAATCCAAAGAAGATTTCAACCTAAAATCATAAGGGAACTTTCAATTAACTACAACTTGAGCTTAAAGAATATCCAGACAGATCTGAAGAATGCTGAAACAGATATACAAATCTCAATAATTTCTAGGACATTGAACTGCCAAATATTTAATGGACAAGTTGCAAGGAAAATACCATTACTGAAGAAAGGCTTGTTTAACATGTGCTAAAACCTTTTTGGATCAGTTGACTGATTACTGGAATGCAGTTATTTGGTCAGGCAAAACAAGAATTCAACTTTTAGAAGATAATAAAAAAAAAAAATAAAAAAAAAGAATGTCGCACACAATGTAAAAATGACCATTCCAGCAATGAAACAGGATAATGGACACAACATAATTCTTTGGTTGCAGGAATCAGGAAACTCATTATATTACTTCATCCTTTTGAAAATCATTTACTTTCTGCTATACTATTTAGTCTTGGTAGGCAATTAATCTTTCAGTAAGACAACTCTGAGAACCACCTGAAAATAGTTTAAAAAGAATAAGTTTTGTATAATGGAATGACATTTTCAATTGCCTGAATTGAATTGAACATTTGTGGCATCAATTGAAAATTACTTTTCATCAATGAAAATAATTAAATCTGAACAATAGAATGATTTTGCATAGAAGAATGTTTGAAAATATCAGTTGAAAGATGCAAAAGCTTTATTAAAGGCTATAGAAAACGCATATAAGCAGCAATTGGTGGTAAAGGAACCTCAACTAAATATTATTTGAGGGTGTTGAATACTTATACAAAAAGTCATTATAATACAGTATTGATAATTATAAAAATGAAATAATGAATTATTATTAATAATTATTTATTATCAATTTTTGTATTAAACTATTTTACTAATATTAAGTGGATAAATGTCATCAAATTAAATTTGAAACTATTAAAGGACAAAAGTTAGGGAAATAATTTAGTGGTCAAATGCCTTTGTTCTTAGCCAGAGTATATAAATACTATGGGGCTAGGCAGAAGAGTTGATTCATACATAAATAATCCCATAAGTTATGACATATATTAATATTAAAGATTAATTTTTTTGAAAGAGACTCTGAAAAGTATAATATCTATAACTTTGTGTAGGTCATCTGCCTTTGATAAGATATGAATAAAAGATGGAAGCAATAATTCTTGTATTAGTTTTGCATGTGTAAATTATAAATATTCTTCTCAAAGGGATCAGATGAAAGAAAGTAAAGTTGGAACATAATAGACAACATTCTGAGGTTGTTTGCAGTGATGGGTATGTGATTAAAATTGTTGATAAATCACAAACTGACATTGTCTTAGAAATCTAAATATTTTGTTTTGTTCTTGCAGGGTCTGATGAATCTTTTCTTTCCTGATGATGATGATGATAGCTTATCTTTAATGGTGGAAGAAGAGCCAAGTCGGCGTGATTCATTGTCCTATGAAGAAATTGTTAAAGACTTCATTCTTGAAGAGAATCAGTACCTTCGAGATTTGAATATGATTATTAAAGTTTTTGCTGCTTCCTTTGAAACAATTTTAGATGAAAGGGTGAGTGAGGCTGGTCAAGACTTGATAAACCTTTCCAATTAATGAGGAATTCAAGGGACAAAGAAAGGATCAAGATTTTTTGAGAGCATATTGAGCTGTAGTCATTTGGGGAAAAACTGAATTCATTTTATTCATTAAAATCATTTTTATAAATCCTAGTAAAACAATTTGTTTTCAGAATAGCACTTTGAAATTTATACATCTGCTTTTTAAGAAAAAAAAGGTTAAGGTGAAAAATTGACTTTTCCAGTCATCAACCAATGCCATTTTTTGACACATGTCACCAAACAATAAGAAACTTATTTAAACATTTTTTCAAAATTAAAATAAAAATGTCTATGTCTCGTTAAAACAGAAACTGTTAATTTGATGAATTGTACACAAGATTAAACCAAAATTATTTCCTTTTTCTTTTTAAAAAGCAGTGAAAAACAACTTGTGAGAAAGGGTCATTTTCTTATGCAGACGTTGAAATAGCAAGTAGCTTGTAGAGTTGTTGACAGGCAAACAGTGACAAAATAATATGGTAGGCTGTATATGACAAAATATTTGCAACTGCATACTCTGGAGCAAAGTCACCCTTCACTACTGATATATATATATATATATATATATATATATATATATATATATAATCATAAACAGGATTACGTACATAGAAAAAATAAACTTATTACTCAATGATACAGACACTTATGAAAAAATAAACAAACAAAAAATAAATACTGAAACACAAAATTTCAACAAAGAAATCGGGGAACTGATTAAAAATGAAAATAAATCGTGGTATAGACTCATAGAATATCACCCTAAAACAAAAAACATTACAGCATTACAGTCTCCCTATATATATATATATATATATATATATATATATATATATATATATAGCTAATAAATAGTTTTATAACATAAGTAAAATTTAATTTAATTTGAATAACAATTTTTAAAGGCATATTTTAATAAATATTTCTTTTCAATTGAAATGTTAAAAATTGCCATATATAAGCAACATTTGTGCTGATAAAGTTTTTTTAAAAATTCATGGCATTTGTATAGAATGAATTTATATTTGTCTTGTCAAAATTCAGTCATAAGTTAGCTGAGAAAATATCAGTGTGTTGACATTTAAATAAACCTAAAATAAATATAATCTTGGCTTCTAAAAATAACTTTTTTTGTAAGAAGTGAACATAAAGAGAATAATTTTAAAAAATATGAAAAAACTTTTATTGAATTCTATTCATTAGTTACAATTTTATTTTCTGTTGCATTCATGGTAACCATTGTCATCATTGACATTTCACATTAATACAAATTAGTTGAGTGGAGCTGAAAATAATTTTACAGAATTATATAAATATTTTCTTAGAAACTGTACCAAATTATTTAAACAAGTGAAAAAATGTTTTTTGAATAAATAATTATTCAGATGTTTTGCTCATGTATCTATGTCCAGAATAGGAAATTGAAATGGACTTAGCATAATGACAAAAAAGAACTTTGGAAAATAGACATTTTGCTGAAAATGTTTGTATATAAATTTTAGAAAAATAAGAGAGCTACTATTACAACTTCCTTTTCTCTGTAGGTATTCTGTGTCCTGAGTATGATGATATACTACATCTGGCAGCAAGATCTCTGATCAGGGGATTCAAAGTTTTTAGGAGTGTGGAACCACCTCTTAATAGGTGTTGTTCCCAGGTTCACCAAGACCTGGGCTGGTAGCACCTGTTAGGGTCCCAGCTATGGGCAAGTAGTGAACCCCCAAACAAAGATCAACAGTACACTTTTATAATAAAAAATGACCAACAATACATTTTTATAGCAAAATTACCAACAATACATTTTATGATCTACAAACTATATATTTAAAAAACATATCTTTACTCTGAAAGTATAAAATTATGTACAAGATATTTAGATTTTGGCATTAAATTCATAGAGGTTGAGATGACGCTAAACAAAATCAACCAACCAACAATACCTATTCATAGTAAAATTACCAACAATACATATTTAAAGCAAAATTACCAACAATAGATTTTATCTGTGGTTGAAGGCATACAATTGCATTCAAAATATATTTGGTTGAAGCCATAAAATTGTGTTCAAAATATTTAGATTTTGGCATTAAATAACCCATAGAGGTATTTCAAAATATAACTTGAACAAAACTACAACATAAAACACATCACCACCTCTAGTAATAATGTCCACACAAACGTATATGTACAAAAGCTGAGTATCATCTACCATGTATTAAATTGTGAAAGCAGAATAACATATTTCTATTACTTCAGAGCTCCACACAAAATTAAATTTTGGTATTAAATGACCCATTATTCAGCTTGTGATGTAAATGTGGATTAGAATATTAGGCTTGACCTGGACAATTGGTTGCTTGATTTCTCTTACTTCTTTTGTAAAGTCATTTTATAAATATTGTTTGGTCAGGAATTAACATATGTGCAAATCATCTGAAAAAATGATCTCTAATCTATATTTTAATTTGTTTTTGTTTTTTTTTACAGGAAATGGAGATGCTGTTCAGTAATATAAAAGATATCACAGAGTGTGGAGCTAATCTGTTGAGTTCAATAGAAGATCAAATGGAAATTGCTGAAGAGAATGAAGTTCCAACAGTTGGCATTTCTTTTGTGGAGATGGCTGAAGTATGTGTGTTTGATTTTGAAACAGATCATTGTTACATCAGCAGCTATCAAGATGTCTGAGATTCTGTTAAAAATACTTTGCTCATAATGTTCATTATCTATTCTAGAATAAAGGGCATTCATCTGTATGAAAATGTCTCCAGCTTAAAATACAATTTAAACCCTTAAAACCATATATATTCTGATTCAGTATATTCTGAGGAAGGTTTTTATTAACAATTTATTTCTATATTCTTTATATAAGCAAAGATATTTGTAAATTAAAACATCTGTAATAACATTACAAAACATAGCAAAAAATATGCCATTATTTTAGCATTTTCAACTTAAAACCCAATGTCATTTAATTATTTTTTAAATAAACAGTGGCAAAGTTAATTAATGAATAATGAATGAATGAATTCTAGAATATTCTATGTTTTATTTAGTAAAGGATAATTTTTAAAAACTTATTATTGATAAATTATTTATTTTATGTGAAAATACAAATATAAAAATGCTTAAAACAAGTTTCTATTTAAATTCATTCAATTATTTTTTTAAATAATAGTAAAAAATTAAATTGAAAATGAAAAGATTAAAAGAATACACAGGCAGTCATTATATTTAATAAAGTGCTTTTTTGTTTTAAAATTATAAATATTTTTTACATGAAAGACAATAAGCTTTCTTTTTTTACAAAACAAATATCCACATTTTATTCATTAGAACAATATTAAGCATAAAAATATCTACAAAAATAATTACTGAATGAAACTAAAAAAAAAACTTTAATTTACAAATACCTTAATTTAAAGAGAACAGAAATAAATTGATAATCAAAATGTTGGAATATTCTGAATTAGAATATATATATGATTTTAAGGATGTAAATATTTTTAGTTTTGGAGTTTAAGCCACATACATACACACAAAAGATTTAGAACAGAATTAATGATTCTTTTCTTTATATATTCATTTAAATAGTAACAAAAAATTAAATTATACTGTAATAAATATTATAATAAATGACATGAAGTTTAAATATAAATATTATTATTGATATTGTTTATCATGAATTTTGTACATTTCTGGTGTTATTTTGATATAATATACATGCAATGTCAGGTATCCCTGCTAGTCATTCATAAAGAGAATGCAAAAATGTAGCTTTTAAGCCAAATAATTGTTTTCCTTCTTAATATTTAATAATGTTTACAATATCTGCAATAAACATATTTCACTGAATGTGACAGACAAGGAAAATTTTATAAGATTTTTTTATTAAGTTTTTCTAATGTTCTTACAGTTTTCTTTTTGGAAGGACTAAGGGAATTCAGAAATTGTCCGTAGTGATTATTACCCCAACCAGTTATTCATTAGCAAGTTTCAAGGGATTCATTGTTAATGTTTTTTTTCAATATTTGTGTTCTGAAGGTTATTGTGTAATCTTAGATTGTGTGAAAGAAGTGTCTTAAAAGACCCCCAACACATTCAAATTATTGTTAAATAAAGTAAGGTTGATACTTGGTTTTATATAAAGAGCCTTTATAATTTTTAGTCATTGGCAGACAACTTTCTTTAGAATAAAGAAATATTTCTAAAGGGGCAGGCAGTTGAGTTCTGTGTAAATGTTGAGGAATGGTATTTTGTTATTAGCACTTAGTTTGTATGAGCATTTTAGGGCAGAGTTATTTTAAAAATTTGATTTTAGATTTGTAATTTCATTGCTATTTTTTGCTAATATAAGGAATGTCATCGACATATTCCTTATTTGTGGTATGCTTGTTGTTTTAAACACTTTGTTTTTTGACGTGTGTCATATTAAAGTTAGAGGGTTCCCCCCCTACTAACTCTGTTGGTTTGGCTTTAGATGTCCCCTTTATAGTCATAGGAGTGAGCTTTAATTGTGCAAGTAACAACTAATTTTTAAAGAATTGCTAGCCGAATTTTTGGAGAAAGAGTTGATGAATGTTTATAGATGCACTCACAAAATATATTGATTCTTTGTGAAAAGAATTTCTATGTTCAATGAAGCTAAGGTCCCACATGTGGGTTTTGTTGTATTAAGGATTTGGAGGAATTTTTTTGTAGATGCACTACTGTAATTATTGGGTATGTATGGGAAAGTGTTTACATATGAGTGTAGGTATTTGGGATGTGATGGGTTGGAGAGGAAGACCTGGCTTATGGGTTTTCTTACATTTCTGCAAAGGTATCTAGTTTTGTAGTTGCCAATGATTCTATTAATTTAATTAATAACTGCAATACAGAAATTATATTGTCATGTGTGCGACAAAAGAAATAAGATAAAGGGAATTACAAAAGACTAAGTTTTTTTATAATAAACAAAAAAGATTTTCTTCTAATTTTAGTGATTTGGTCAGTGGCTAAAATGAAAAAAAAAAAAACAAAAGCTTACCAGCAAGAAGTTAAAAATACTTCAAAATAACTTAATTTGGGAGTTGGTGGTTTCTTTTAGCATACACTTGCATGTCCAGTTGGTGAACAGTAGAAAACAAACTGTTCTGAAGCAGATATTTACAACAACTGACTTTGCCAACCAACGAAAGCCCAGATGAAGACCCACCACTGTTAGGTCATCTGGCCACATAAAAAAATTCTTTTGAAGTCTTTGGTCTAAATGACCCAGAACTCAGCATAGTTTCATTCATAAAAATAGATTCTCTTAACATTATTTACTTGAAGGAAAATTTACTGTTTGCTGTTCATCTAGTGATCAATCAGCAGCTGGGATTGAACTCTGTTTCTTGGTATGTTTACTTATGTCATAATTTCCTACAAATAAACCCACTTCCTGATTAAAACCATGTCTCTGTCTGGTCTGAGGACTGATTATATATTGATTAATATTTGGGTTTTTGATGCAACTTTTGGGTGTGTCTGTGGAAAAGACAATCATTTATATTGAACCCCAGCCATAACTCAAAATCTGTATTAAATTACTTCATTAGGGTTTTATAAAAACAGGTTTTAAGAAATTATTTTCTGCTCTAGAATGTTTGAAATGATGTTAACATGCAGTGAAAAATACTTTTTTTATGCATATTCTATCAGAAATAACCCTGCACATGTAGGCTTTACAAATTTATCATTTGTAAAACTAAGATTTTAACTTCACCAAATTTTGTTTTTACTTTTAGGAAGAGGAATTTTTTGTCTATGAAAAGTACATGACAGATATGGTTTCACCAGATGGCAGAGAATTGCTTGATAAATTACTACAGCAGCCAACAGTCCTAGAACATCTTAAAAATGTAAGTTCCTGGAGGAGAGAAAGCAGAGGTGCATGCAGGCTACCTCCAATGACATAGTACTTTTGTATTTATGATTTCTTTAACAATACAGATGCAAAATGACCTTTTAATCTGTTCTTGGGTCCTCTTCAAAATACAAATAGCAACCAAATAGGTAGGCTGTGATATAAAAAAAGCAAAAAAAAAAATAGAAGTATTCAACTCTTTAGCATTCAACATGCTAAAACTTGCCCTCATAAATATTGGCTCTGAAAGTCTCACTGTTTGCATAACTTTTTGTGTTATTTTTGATGAGGTCGTCATATATTATGGCAGAGTATATACAGAGCAGGTTACAGTGGGTTGAACATTGAGAGCTGATTTTTACTGAGTGGGTTAGAATGCTTTAATGAAAGCTTGTGCCTTTAAAACTCTAATGTATATTTCTCTGTTACTTGAGGCAAATTCATTTGACAAGGTCTTGTCATTTTGATGTGGTCATCATCATAGAATAGAAGAAATTTAAGCTGCTTGCACATGCATTGACTAGCTTCCAGAGAGAAATCAGATGCTGTGCTAGGCTCTTGCTTAATCTTTGAATTTCAAAAATATTTTTGGTACATTTTGATTTGCGTTTGTTTTTCATCCAAAACCAATAAAAGTTTTCTCTCCAAATTTCCGAGAAGTGTATTTGGAACCTACCTGTAGGTTATTTAAGGGGTGGGGATGCTTGGATTTAATTTAAGGAGTTGATGAACAGCTGCTGAGGAGCCACGGTCACCCAAGTCCAGAAAGAAAAACAACACAGAAGAAATTTGACAACCACCAGACAAGAATTAAAAGGAACAACAAAGTCACTCTCACATCAAGGAAAAGTCTTCGGCTGATGTGCTTTATCTATTCTTCGCTATTACCACAAACTTTGCTTCAAAAATTGTACCAAATTATTCTCTGAAAACTATTAAGAGGAGTATTTTCTCTTTTTCTTCACTCTTTATGTAGTTTTCTTGTCTGAGGACCTTATGCAACATTATCATTTTAAAATTGTAAAAAGGCATATTTCATTTTTATTGATAATTTACATATATGTTATTGGCCATTATTTGGAACACAATGCACTTAATTTGTGTAAGTCATTCATTTTTTTGTGTATTATTGTCTGTTTTTAAACTTGGCTTCTGTTGTTTGTCTTTGTTGTGTGCTCATATAAATTCAATGTTACCTCAAACATTTGTTTGAACTATTTTTTTCATAGGGTTTTTTTTACCAAATAAAAAATTCTATAAGAAGTTTTAAACTCAGCTATCTTTTAAAAATTACTTTACTTTAAGTAAGAGTCTATTTGTTCAGTCTCCTAACTGAAACGTTCCAAATGAAAAGAAACTTGCTATTTCCTTTTTTTTATTCAACCACTTCACAATTTTTGAAATACATTGCACCAACCAATATATTCACATAAGCAAAACAACCCTGGATTGAACTGAAGGAACCCTCAGAACTTCAGTCTAACACTCTTTCATTTGAGTTATGTTAGTTCTTGTCTTGTGATTGTAATTAATTTGTGTGTATTTGTATTTTTATGATATTTATTTACGAAGTACAACAGAATTTAACAATGTAATTTTCTTATTGATTTACTTTGTATTGGTTTCAATCTAATGGGAATGACTGCTAGGAACCTTCCTTGTCCAAATTTATAGACAAATCCTACAGATGCATGCTGGGATTTCTTCCTAGCCAATAAAAATAGACAATTCTTGATTTCATGCCCATATTTATGTTCTTTCTTGCCTTAAAGTCAGAATGCTATAACCACTATATATTGATTGTATCCCTTTTGTGTATGAAGAACACGATTCCTACTTTGTGAACTCTATGCTTTATTACTGTGGCTTTGATTTGCATATATTATTTGTCTTGTACTATTTTTTGCCACTGTAAGCTTGGATGTCTAGGAGGTGTAACGAATAACGGCTTGGAATAAGAAATCAGAGATCTGTCTTTGAATTCCAGTTGGGTTTGTTATATTCTCTTTGGAAAAGGTATGAGTCTACCTCTTCTCCTTTCAGCTATGGGTTAAATAGTAAGACTTGCACCAGAAAAACATCAACTGTAAAAGATCCAAAAATATGTTTCGGCTTTAAATAACCTTAAAAAGGTTGATAAGCTGTAAAAAATGAATGAATCAAAATATTTTTTGCCTTGTGCCCCCCTCTTTTTTCTTATTATTTATTGAGAATTTTGTCAGTTACACTTAACCATGGCCAATGTATTCATCATTTTTTAGTTGTGAATCATAATAGTGATAAATCCAAAATGATATTATATGTAATATTGTACTGATGGTTAATAAACTTAAATCAGAACAGCATATTTCGAATTAATGAGTCAAAACTCTTAAACAAGCTTCTCTATAGTCTTTCTGCATTACTCTTTTATGTTAAGGTTGAATCTCATCAAATCTGAATAAACCTGAATCTCTTGGGAAATGATTTGGTTATATTTCTCTGTCCAATAGATAGGCTCTATTGCATTAAAAGAAGGGATTGAAATATTCTAGGCATTCATGTTTTTAGAGGATCTCTGGTGTCATATCAGAATAGACATTGATCTTGTTGGTGTAGGATAAAGATTAATAAATGTAAAAATCATTTTGGTTTGAATATAAAATACATTTTGCCTTCTCTCTTCCTCCTTGCAGACAAGAACAAAACTTAGTTGTAGTTTTCATCTAATCTCTTGGACACAGAACTATACAGTGTATCCTGTAAAGAAGAAATTCTTGCATAGATAAACTGAAAAACTAAATCCTTTCTGTACACTGAACTTAAAACCTGGATGAAGTTGAAATATTTCTATTTTTCTATTTACTTGTCTATTTTATTCTCATCTGTTATACAATGGATTATCTTTTGACTTACACAAACAATATCACAAATGTATATTTTCTAATATTTAATACTTTTATTTTTCCCTTTGTAGAATCATGGTTATAATTTCATAGATGTGATCAAATATGTACTTCCTAAACTTTTACTTGGACCAATTTACCACCTGCTTCATTACTTTGATGTCATGAAGGTAAATGCCTTTTACTTACTATTGTCTTTTATAGCATAAAACTCAGTTGCTACTGTGTAATTTTACTATTAGTACAAAATGATTGAAAATTGCTATTCTAAGCTTTGTTGCAGTATTTTTGTAACTAGGTTATATAAATTATTAGGAATATTAAATCAAACGTCAGATTTAAAATATATACCGCTTTTTATATTTAGGTTCTTAAAATTAATATTCGTTCAAAAAATTAATTTCACTTAGTTTTTTTGCTTTCTTGTAGAAATTGTTCAATTGCAGTTGTTTGCAAATAAGCATATTTTTCATAATTTCTATAATTGGTGGCTTTTTTATGTAGCACAAACAATAATTCTTTATTTGAATTTTTTTTTTCTATATAAACAATAATTCTTTATCTAACTTGATTTTTCTTTTTTGGATTTGCTGCATTAAGCCTTTAGCATTCAACACATTCAAACCTGACCTGTAAATATTGGTTCTCAAAGTGTCACCGTTTGTGGTCAGTCTCACTGTTTGCATGACTTCCTGTGTTATATGTGACATGGGCCGGGTTACTTTGGGTTGAACATTGTGGGTTGATATTTATGTGTTAGTTTTAGGCAGGTTGAATGCTAAAGTCTTTAAGTGTCTTGTAATTTCATTTACAGTTTAAAACATTCTCTATTGACTCAATAAATAATTAGAATTTCTGTCTATTTTATTTATATTTCTGTGATATTTTTTTTATTAATAGCTAGACAATAACTATAGCCCAAAAACATCAAATTAAGGAAAATGTTAAATTCTTTTCTATTTTTCTAAAGATATATTTACAGCTTACAGATTCTAAATGTTAATTCTGCTCTATAGGAGTTGTTGAAAATAAAAACTTGACACTTTGAATTTATTTGTAGGTGCTACAAGATTTCAGTCCTAATGATGAGGACAAGGAATTCCTGGGACAAGCCCTTGGATTGATGGTCAATCTCAAAACTTCTTTGGAAAAGAAGTTTGGAAACAGTCTTTGCAAACGCCGGCCATGGTAAGTATTTATCTATCTATTTATATTGATGTGTTGCCATTTCTATATTAATCTATCTCTTCCATGATTTTTTTTTTCAACATGTGAAAATTCACATGATTTTGTGTCAAAGATGCAAATAGGCATCAATCAAGATAGAATTTTATGCATATTAACTAAAATTATTTCAACATTTAAACTTAAAATTAAGATTATATGTGTGTGTGTTGTATAGATAGTCTTATCAACCAATGTTGTTGAGCCAAAAAGTGAGAGCAAAATTTCTTTCTTTTTCATCCTTTTTGTTGAAGAATTGCTTTTTGTTATTTCTTGTTAAGCAGAAAAGTATCTGTTCTTGCTTTGTCAAAAATAAAAACTTCTAACTAATCTTGAAAGATAATTAAACCTAGAAATAAATTACATATTCAGTTTGGATAACTGTGGCATATTTTTAATAATTTTGCTTTTGATACTCATTTGGTTGATTTGTTTATGCTTCTTTTATAACCTGTGTTTGTTTTAGTCTGTTGTGTTTGTTTTTGCAGGGAAACCTCGTTACGTCTGCAGGGTCAAAGTGGACGCCAAGCAGCATTAACAAAAATGAATGAGTTGCAGAAGAGTATTGATGGCTGGGAAGGAAAAGACATTTGGCAGAGTTGTAACGAGTTCATAATGGGTAACATCTGAAAAAAAATTTTGTTCTTCACATGTTTGGTTTTATTTCATACTTTTCATTAGGGCATGATTGTAGTTTATGCTGAAGGTGACAAATAGTTTTGTTTGCAGTAAAATCACTATTATGGAATTATAATCTTTTTATAGCAAAGAAAATGTCACTACTAACAGAAATGATGCTTGGATTGTCTTGATTCTTGTTGATGTGTCATTATTTCAAGTACATTTTATAAGACAAGAAAGCAAAGTGTTTTATTCTATGTAGATGACTGTATTGAGATTTTATGTTATCAATTTAAATTGTGATTTGGTAATGAGGTGACTCATTTACATATGAAATCACAAAGACTATAGCTACAGCTATTACCCATGAGGCAGTTGAGTGCATACTACTTCCTGTGAGTCAGTAACACTATATACAGTATTTAGATACTTTTGGCATGAGAAAAAAAATCAATGAACATTAAAAAGGAAGTGCTCAAGAAAAATCAGAATTTCATCTGAAAACAAAAAATATTGAATAAGCACTTTTATTTGACAAATCCAAATATTTGATTTTATTTAGTAAAATTATTTATCTTTCATAATCAGCTGAAATTAGCCATGATATTTAGTGCAGTCATTTAAGTTTAATTCATTTTAAAATCCTTGTTCAGAAATTATCTAATAAAAAAAATTTAGAATTTGATTTTAAAAAATCTATAACAAATTCTATGACTTACTGAAAATAAGCAAAGAAAAAAGTCTTATTTTTATTGATGAAATTATCAGAACAGAGTAAAATGTTCAATGTATGTTGGTAGCAAAATGAATAAAAAGCTATGAAGGTTGGTCAGAAGTAATGCCTGTTTTTCTTTAATTACAACAGATTTAATAGTAAAAGCACACAGCATACCAAAATGAATACAAATGTCACAGAATTTCAAATATGCTCACATCCTGAACCTACTTTCTAAGCCATGTGTGAATTGTCTCTTTCATTATTATTTGAGAAATACTCTCCTCACGAGTCTATTTGTAGATCTAGAAGTTTTTGGGTAGTAACTGCTTCTACTCCTTCATGGAGTCAGCATTCTGGAAACCCACATTGCAAATGCACTAAACTACAGGCATTACCATGGCTTACCATGACTGTCACTAATAGATTTTTTTTTTGTCAGCTGTAACGATAACATCTACCTGTTTGGCCTTATCCTCATTCATAACAGCAGCTGACCTGCCATTATATTGCTTGTTAGTTTCACTCTTCTCTTTTGAAGTGCCCTTAATTCTTCTAAACCATATACTTACTGCACTTACATTAAGTGCAGTCATATCATAAATATTCATTAATTTACTATATGAATGCTTGCGGCACTTTCTCCTTCCCAAAATACAAATTTTATGGCATCTCTCTGCTTTCTACATGTATCCAGAAGGGAATTTATTTGGAATGAAGATTATGGAGAGTAAATAAAAATATAACTCCATAAATTTTTCCTCTATATTTCCAGGCACTTTATGGTCTATACCTTGAAAAAGAAAAAAAAGTTACAAATTCTGACTGATGCTTTTAAAATTAAATTAGAAAAAGCATTACATTTTTTACCAATATTCATAAATTCCTGACAAGTATTTGATAACATCAGTCACATTTTTTTGTATTCTAAATTTTTTGGTGCTTGAAATGTAAAAAAAAAAAAAAAAAAAAATGAAAAAGAAAACTCAACTTGAAATGTGTATTTGTTTGTTGCAGAGGGGATTCTGCAGAAGTATACAAGCCGCCGTCCAACTGAACGTTACGTGTTCCTTTTTGATGGCCTGTTGGTATTGTGCAAACAGAACTTACGTCGGTCATCAACAACTGGGCCAACCCCAGAGTACAAACTCAAGGAAAAACATTACCTGAGAAAGATAGAAATTGTTGATAAGGAAGACACAGAAGGTAAAAAAAAAAACTTGGAAGGTTTTTACTTAGTTCACTGCCCTTTACTTTTTATTTCAATTGGTTCACTGCCCTTTACTTTTTATTTCAATTGGTTCACTGCCCTTTACTTTTTATCTCAATTGGTTCATAGTTCTTTATTTTTTATTCACTTGGTTCATTACCTTTTAATTTTATTTTAATATTAGTGATGGAAAATGCTTTTAGGATATACAAAATTCAGTCATCCAGATTTCTTTATATTAAAAATTAAAATATACTAATTCCAAACAATAATAAAATAAAAATAAAGAAAACATGGGTAGGCCTGTCAAATAAATCATTTTTATTTACAAACATGTACATGAATTCAAAAGAGTCAAAAAAAGAGTAAAAATAATCTTTAGTTGGGTTAAAGTCTTTGGGTAGTTGGTCCACAGAAAAACCTGTGATTTAGAAAAGACTTTTAGTAGATGGTTAACAGTAAAAATCTGTGATTGAGAAAAGACTTTGTCAGCGAAGATTAACTGACTATCCCTACTGTTGTTGTTGGAGATGATTCATTTGAAGTTGCAGACATGTTTCTTTCAGTATGCACTTGGTAGGAGGGGCATGTAGCCACATCTTCTCTTGTGTTTGCACTTTTTAGAGACAGTCACATTTCTGCTCCTGAAAGTTGAAATCTGTGGGTTTTATAAGAAATTTTTCCTGAAAGTAAACTTGAGAAAAATAGGGTTTTAGTTTTCTCTGATTGGTCAAATATTTAACATGGTGATGTTAATTTCTAAACTATAGATACTTTGATTTAAACGGTGTGTGTTGTATTGTGGAATCTTTTTGGCATGTTTGTAAATATTTCTGTTATTGGGTAGAACATTAAGTTTGGGTATGTTTAATATGTTATGTGTGTGGATATGGAATTGTGTTGGAAATAGGGTTTATTTCCTTATAGGATTTTATCAAATAAGAAATACATTTTTTTTTCTTTGTAGAGATTGGAAAACAAAAATAGTGAAGGAAAATTCAGTATATTTACTAACAATACACACACAATGTTATTGGTTTGTGAAATAAACTTTTTGGTTTCAACATTTACTCATTGAATAATTTTATTTTGATGAACTAATTTCTGACTTTGCAAACAAACACAAAATAGAAGATAAACAAGTATTTCAATGATATCTATTAATGAAGTGTCAGTTTTTTTTTTTTGTTACATGAGGCCAAGTTATACAAATTTTATTTTTTATGAATTTAACTACAATTATGCACGTTAAATTTTCTAATACTTTCTAAGCTTTTATAATTAAAGGTAGGAACTGTATAAGATAATGTAAATACTTCGAAAGGTATTAACAGCCTGCCTACCCAATGGAATATTTTGAAAAAATAATGTTGTATAATTATGAATCAAGTTAGACTTCCTCTACATGTTTTCTCAGTAAGTGTTACATTTTATGCAAGTTCAATTCCTAAATACTCTTATTTATTTCCCTAGCATTCACTTTTGGAGGCTTTTTCTTTTTTCTTTTTTTCGTTTCTGAAATACTTTCCAATTTTCTTTTGACATTTGAATAAAATGTGGAATGTTTGAGTCTCCTCAAAGTTATAGATAGTATTAAGATATTTTATCATCCTTCTTCAGTTGCAACAAAAATCAGTGTATGTCAGAATAAAAGTGAGCGATTGTTTTCGGTTTTCATAAATAATACTGTTATTGTATGTAGATAAGATTTTTTTAGTCTGACATGCATAGATTTTGTGTTTGCCAATGATAACCATCCAACTTTTTTGAATTTCTTAGCACATGTTTCTTTGCATTAACAAAATTCATGAAAATCATTGGTTTTCATTTTCTTCTCTTCAGAATACAAGCACGCTTTTGAAATTCAAGTGCGTGATCATCCAAGCATCATAATGATGTGTAAGAATGCAGAAGAAAAGAATAACTGGATGGCTGCACTGATTTCTTTACAGACTCGAAGGTGAGATTGATTTTGCTTCTTTTAATACAATATGTAAATATCATACTATCATAAAAGACAATAAAAAACAACAAATTCATATTATTTTTTAAACCAATAAAAAATAATCAAATTACTTTAAACTGTTTTCTAAGACAAGTTAAAATCTTTCAGAAAATAACTCAAATTATTTATCAATACTTCTGATAATCATCACGTTAGCCTCATATTTTCCCCACCAAATACACCATAAATGTTCATTGGCCATTAATTTTAGCTATATAGGTTTATAAATAGCAACATGGCAGTCAGTAATACAAGTTGAGAATCCTTTATATGAAATTCTTGAGATCAGAAATGCTTCAGTTTTTTTTTTTTTTTTTTTTTTTTTTGTTGGATTTTGGAATACAGGTTATTTAATTTGTATATAGCATCTATAAAATGGAGCAGCTTGGGAATGGAACCCTAGCATATACATGATATCCATTTACATTTCATAACACAGCTTATATATAAATACACCCTGAAGGTAGTTTTATATAAATAACATATTCTGAAAGTAGTTTTAAAATTTAATAGATTTTGTGTACATACAGATACAGGTAATGATCTAGTCATGTAATATTCACATGGATTTTTAAGTGGTGAAATTAAAATTTCATGTTAAAATAATGTGTTATATTTTCTCTACGTGTACAAAAAACATGATCACAACTTACAAAAAATATATAAATGCAGGACATTTTGAATAATATCTTTACTGAGCACAAAACACCTGGCAAGTAATCCATGGATGGAGGTGTTGCTGTGATGATTGCAAACAAAAAACTGGCGCCAACATAGGCTATGTAGCTGGGCCTTCTGAAATTTTTTTATTTGTGGTAAGTCATGTCAGCACCTGAAAAACTTATGGATTTTGGAATTTTGGATATAGAATACTCAACCTTTAGTGTTTTTTCTTTGTCCTTTTTTTGCTAGCACAAAAAGCAATCATGCATTGCTTTTATCAAAACATACACAGATGTCAAAATAAGGCTTGCAATTCTTGTCTTTATAAATTTAAAAAGCATTTTTCGTGATTGTTGTTGTCATCTCATCAATATTTGCTTTTGATCAGTGTTTTGGAACGGACATTAGATAATATTTTAAAAGAAGAAGAGAAAGAGCACCCACTGCAGTTACCTCCGCCTTCATTGTACAGGTAAGCAATTGATTGCAAGATTTTCAAATTTCTCTTTTAATTAATATAAATTTATGAATAAAAAAAAAATTGTTTTTATATTTATTTCAATGGTAAATGATAAATATTCCATTGTTGTTGGTTCACATATTTTTATAATCTTGTAATTAAACAATCTAACTAATAGAGCAACACAAGTAGAATTTTATGAAGCTATATTTGACTAATTCAGCTTTAGCACTGAAAAAGTTTATTTTATTATAGTGGATGGTTACAAGCGAGATGAGACATGGTTATCTTATTACCACACTAACAACTAAATAGTTTGTAACATTTACATTTTTGTTGTTATTAAAATTCTAAACATAGATTTTTAAAACAATAAACATTGATGAGGGAGTCAAGATAGTATAAAGTAATAGCGGTGTCAAAAGAAAAACATTCTTTTGAAACACTATTTCTTTGCCATTTAATACATTGCATTCTCTAGAATAAACATAAAGGGATTTTATTGTTGACTTTTTTTTAAAACTTTTGTTTTACAATTTCTAAAAAATCCAAGAATAGTAAAACAATATATTCTCTTGAAATACAAAACATATCAGGGTCACAATTTGGATTCATATTCCAAACAAACATTTCGTTTGCATTATATAATTATTTTGTTTACTCTTTTTTCACAATCAGATTAGAAATACAATTTTATCATTTCAAAATTTTGTAATTAAAATTTATTTGATTTTGGGTTTTTATGAAACACATTTTGTCTCAGTTCTTGAAAACTTTCTACCAACTGTGTAGAGTGAGTTGCCATGGTTAAAGTGTCAAACAAACTGAATTGACAAAATTTGTAATAAGCAATAACAAGAAAAAGAAAAGAACAGGGCAATAAATAATATAAAGCAAGCAAACAATATATGCAAGGAAAATTAACAGTAATAAGGCAAAGCAACAGTAATAAGGCAAAAAGTTCTCAAACTAAGAATTGTGGTTGACACACAAAAGCAAATTCAGATAAATAAATGTAGCCTTCTGACTTCAAGTCAAGACAGACTGGGACTGAGTCATATGAAATCGAGAACCTGCCTATTTTATTGGCTAGAAAGAAATTTCAGAATGCTTTTGTGTGCTTTTGTATTGGGAAGGGGAAAGTGTTTTGTAGCCATTCCCATACAGGATTGGAATCATCAAACTGTATATAAAGTTTTCTGAATTATAGTTATTAAAAATGTAATTTCATGAGGTCTCAAATTTGACAATATTTTTTATAAGATACTGTTATTTTTTAATGAAACAAGTTTACCTAGTATAATTGGTAAAAATATTGCTTCAATTTCTGTAATGATTTCTCTAGAATATGACATAACTTTTGTATTGTACTCATTATTTCCAAAATTGATTGTTATTATTTGTCTCTCTGAAAAATGTATCTGATTTGATATGTTACTCTATCTTGTATTAACCAGATTTGCCGTTGAAGACTCTAATGACAACATAGTATTTGAGGAGAATCAGGAAGCAAGTGGAGAAAGTCCTCTGATCAAGGGAGGCACCCTCCTAAAACTTGTGGAACGGCTTACCTATCACATGTATGCTGATCCTAAGTTTGTGCCAACATTCCTCACCACTTACAGTTCCTTCTGTACACCACAGACATTATTAGATTTATTGATTGAACGGTATCCTTTTTTATTCTACTCTGATTTTTACTAACTTTACAGTGGGAGTTTTTTTATGAAGATTTTTGCTATTTTTTTTTAATTTGCTTTCTATTAATTGGTTTACTAATGTTTAGTAATTTTTGTTTTACTTAAAGAGTTAAGCCAAATGTACACTTCTTTTCATATGAATGGCTTATAAAATTGGAAAAAGATTCTTATTATATGACTTATTATTTGGACCAGCATACTTCAATATTAATAGCTTACGGCAATATCATATTAAAACACCGGTTCCTGTATGATCACCGAAGTTAAGCAACATTGAGTCTGGTTAGTACCAGGTGCTGTAAACTTGGATGTATGGTTGGTGTAATGGCTAATTGGCTTGGAGTTGTTAATCAGAGAGCCAAGTTTCAGTTCCTATTGGATTCTTATATTCACTTACATGCTAATACGCTTGGGAAAGGTATGAATAACCCTCTTCTCCCCTAGCTATGGGTTAATTAGTAAGACTTGTATCACTAAATCGTTATCTCCCCCCCCCCAAATTCTTACAATCTAAAAAATTTTTTCTTTAACTAACCTGTAAAAGGTTGACATAGAAAATGAATGAATGAATCAATCAATAATAAAACATATAACTGACAAATTAACATTTTATTCCTTACATTTTGAAAATTTGTTTTTTAATATTGTTCGCTATCTTTTACAATGGCAATATTTTGTTTTTACAATTGGTGGTTAACTGCTAGATAAATATTAATCTAAGTTTACTATGTTGTAAACACTACAGCTCAAATAATGCTATTATGCAAATCATTAAAACATTCATTATATCTGAAGTATTCATTAGAGAGGAAATTGGTTAACTACCAGTTTGACATAGTCTAACAGGCAGTTGGCTCTCCTAATGTGTTCTTGGGAAAAGTTATAATGGATATTACGATTTGAGACAGGATTTTAGTGGATAATTTTTATGCAATGACAGGTTATCATGGCTCTGAATGTCGTATTTTTGATTTTCATATTTTTTGAAATGATAAAAAACATCAGAATGGGATAAAGAAAGTATTTAAGTAGAGATAATTGATAAAATTATTGACTGACAAAGGAGCTCACATAGGGTTGTGAATGGAAAGATTGTTGGGCAGATTAGATTTATGTAATAATAACTAAACAATGTTACTTTTATTATTAATCCTTATTATTGATACCTAAAAACCATTTCTAAGCTCAAATTTGTAAAGTTGCCTAATAATACCGTTATACAGCAAGTTTTACCATTTTTTTCATTTCTAAAGTTCAAAACTTGGTCCAGATATCCATATCAGATAAGTATGTGTTGTATAACTTATAGCACTTTACTGACAATACTTTTCTTTTTATTGCTAAAAAGCATAGTTGCATAATAGTGTTAGAGAAGATGAATAGAAATATAACTGTAAATTTGGGCACTGATGAGATATTAGGTGCTTACATGGTTGAAATTTTTAAAGCATTGTCCACGTAAGTTGTGCGCCAAGAATATGGAATAAAATTCAAGTCTAGTTGGAAGCTATTTCTTTATTCTGATTTCATATTGTTTACTTTAATGGTTGGGCAATATTCAACATAGACAGCAAATCAGAAATATAAATATTATATTTACTTTGATGAAGTCTCTCAGGAGACAGAACACACTAGTAAAGAAAAGTTTTCCTTTTGTCTTATATATATATATATATATATATATATATATATATATATATATAAAGCACATCCCCTTCACTCAAATTATTTTTTAAAAGCTCATATCTGCTCGGTTTTGTATCTGTAAACAAAGCTATTTCTAAAGAATTAATGGATTTATTTTTAATCCAAATTTTTTATTACTTCAAATGTTATAAATGTGGATGCAGGTTTGATCCTTGTCTGAGGATATATATATATATATATATATATATATATATATATATATATATATATATACACACACACACGTGTGGCATAATGTGTTACGCCTCAGCTGCTGATATCAGTGCAGCATCTGTTATGGCTTTACAGGCCCACAAACGAGTGACAGTTGCGATTGCAATGAATACATGTGAAAACACTCCCCTCTGATGTCACCTTGTTTTCTTTCTGTTGAGCATATTTCTCCTAGCAGCAAGCCTTCCAGCCCTTAGTGTAATTTGTGTCACTAGCGTGAGCGATTGTTAGCGATGTCTTCCCACCTCTTGATGCCCAAGTCCATTGCTTCCATATCCCTTTTGCAGGCATCCTTGAAGTGAAGATGGGGTTGCTCTCTTGCTGGTGGCTAGTTTCCTGTACAGAAGGTCCTTCGGAATACTCCCATCCGGCATACAGTGTTCATGTTCAAGCCAGCAGAGCTGGCAGTGTAGGAGAAAGGCATATATGCTGAATATATGGGCACAGTGAGAACTATGGCATTGGTAACCCAGTCAGGCCATTTGATGCCCAGAATGCGTCTAGGACAGTGAAGATGAAAGGTACTGAGTTGTCTCTCTTGTTTGGAGTAGAGAATCCAAGTCTTGCTGCTGTAGAGCAGCAAGTTAACAACGCAAGCTCTATAGACCCAAGTTTTGCTTTATGTAGAAAGCTTTCTGTTCTCCCAGTCTTGTGAGGTCAGCCTGGCAAATGTGGTTGCAGCTTGTCTGATCTGTCTATTGACATCATTGTTTAGAGAGCAGGGTGTCTGAAATGGTAGAGCTGAGTTATGTGAATACATGAACCACCTCCAGGTTGTAGTTGTTGATTTTGATGGTGGGATGCCCATCATGTTGCTTTAGCCCATCATGTTGGTTTTCTTCAGACTGATGGTCAGACTGAACTCTTGGCAGGCTTTTGAAAAATTGTCCATGAGTTGCTGAAGTTGCTCTTCAGAGTGTACCTGACAGTGTTGCATCATCTGCAAACAGCAGGTCTCTAATGGGCACCTCATGGCACCTTTTGCTCTCAACCAAGACAATCTGAACAACATTCTGCCCATACTTGTGTGCAGGTAGATGCCATCAAATTCAGTTGAAGTCCCAAATGCATCTTTCAGCTTGGCTGTGAAGATGGCAAATAAGGTAGGTGCAAGCACACAACCCTACCTCCCACTGCTGCATATATTGAAAGCCCCTGAATATATATATATATATATATATATATATATATATATATATATATATATATAAACATTCTTAGTGGTACAGAACTTGAGTATTGCTGTAAAAACATTAAGCTGAATATTATTTGGAATAATTAAAAAAAACTGATGGTAAAAAAAAAAAAGAAAAAAATTAAAATAAAGAGGAAAACTAACGGTTTTGCTCCTGCTCCTCAAAGTTTTTAATCAGGAGAAAAAGAGTAAAATAAATTAGTGAATGATTGATGAGAGGATAGAGAATGGAAAAAAAAATAAATAAAAATAAATGGGGTGGGGGGAGTACTAGAGACTAATGGTAGCAAGCAATCATGCTGTTTACAAAGAGACGGCTTGCAAGACATGATATACAATGTCTCTAGTACTTTAAGATGAAATAAAGAGTGTGACTGAGACAAAACAGTAAACCAGTCAACACTGAATTCAACCGCATACTTACTGTTCTTTAAAAGGTGCTCACAAATTGAGGATTTGTAGGTATTTGGGATTAGTTCATTTGAAACTATGGTGTGATTACTGATCTTAGCTGGCACATATTGTTTTATCCTCACATATAGTTGCTGGGTAGTCCTTCCTATGTAGCTGATTCCATAACCACAATTGTATTTATATACAACAGAATTAACTTGATGAGTGGGGGAGAACATCCTTATGGATAGATGAGATGATCGGCCTGGTATTGAACATAACACAAACTTCAGCCAAAAAGTAACAATAATGGACACTAGATGAAATTTGCCTGGAGTAGTTTTCACATCCAGCTCCAATCCAAGGAAGTTGCAAATATACTGGGCACCTTTCTACCATGGTGGACTTTTAAATATAAATATACAAATATAAACAGCAATAAAATTTTTTTCTCTCCTTTTTTTTTTTTTTTTTTTTTTTTTTTTTTTTAAATCAATTCACCCCAAGCAAGGCGATAATGTCACTAAGACTATGTTGAGTAAAACAGAATGATAATGCTTTAGAAGGAACCGGAAGCCCAATCCTAAACAAGGGATAAAACCTCTACTCTTTTTCAAAAGGAGGAGGATTGTGAACTGAACATTAGCTGAACCTATCTACTCCTGTTGTAGAAAAAATTAAATAATAAATACTAATTGCTGGCTTCTAAAAAAAAGTGTTTTGGACAGATAATTTATTTTCTGACCTTAGGCTTGAGTCAAAATTTGATGGCTTTAATTTTTATTCTTTGAATCATTAACATTTTGATTTTGTTGATGTAATTTTCTTGAATCATTATAATGCTGCTCTCCTATACAATCTTGAGTTCTGTATTCATGGCAAGAGCTAGATTTTTAGAAACAAATTGACAATCAGTGGCCAGCCTCTTAGTAGTTCATAAAATTTAAATTTTTAGATATGTGGAGATTTTTCTTTAACTTTGTACAGATTTAATATTCCTGAAGCCGATGTCAAACAGCCAAATGATGAAAATGCTTCCTCCTGTGATCCTAACACCCTCTCCTTACGTGATCTCAAACGCCTTCGGAAAGAGTATATTAAACCCGTACAGTTTCGGTAAGTGATATCCATCATCTGAGGGTCAATTAAACATGAATATGTTAACATAAATCAACTGTTTGTCATTTTATCTACAGTTGGACTAATGTTTTCATCTTTCTTGTTGTTACAACATTTTGGCCATTGTGCTCTCCAGTTTTCTTCAAATGCCTTTTGAATTGAACCCTTTATTAAGTCTACAGGAATAGATCTCATTCTACTGTCCATGTGTAGAGATATTGTTTAATTGTTCAATTATTGCTGGTCCTATTTCCACTGAGTCTGAAGAAGGTCGGAGAACAGAACAGATGAAATGTGATCATAACAACAAAGATGAGGATATTAGTCCAACTGTATATAATGTAAATAATGATAATTCCTCATCTCAGAAATTCAGACAGAAATTGAATACTCTGTTCTATTTTTTTTTTGCTATTAATCCTTTATTTTATGAATATGAAACTATTTGATAATAGAAAAGGTATCCCAAGAATTAAGGACTAGGCTTTTGAGTAAAATTAAAAATGTGTGTGTGTATTAGATGGTAATCAGCCAAGTAAAAGTGATGGAGGATATTCAATGAAAGTACCTTTATAAATATGAGTATATGGACTGCTGGTTTCATTAAGCTTTGTATGTACTTTGGAATTATTTTGTTTTATAGTCTTAGATAAAGTTAACCTTTATTACTCTGTATGCAACTTCATTTGCTGTACAAAAAGTTCATCCTGCTACTAAAGGTGACTCTGATCCCTGAATTTGAATTTGTTTGAATGTCATAGTTGTGTGGCCATATCCTGCTATGGCAACAGAAAAAACCTTTGAGTGAAATTAACAATAAGATTACTGCAATTGAGAAGCCTTGAAAAAGAATGCGGTGAAAAGGGAAGTAATATTAATAATGCAGTGTGCTAAAGTTTAATTTTCTTGATGCCCACTAAAAGATAGCCATGTTTGATCCTGAACTGATTGTTATAGTGATTCTGAAGAATTTTAAGAAGAACTAAGCAAATAATACCAGCTAAAATATTTATGATTTTACTATTATACTGTCAATGACAAATCACAATTCTATCAATGAAAGCAGCACACTAAATGATTGATAATTGATATGTAAAATCAGTGCACAAATCTGATCAATGCAGCCAGTGTCTTGTTAGCTCATTCTTCTTTCATTTTAAAGACATGGCGTTAAATGTAAAATAGAAATGCAGGTGTTAAGCAGGTACACAAGAATATATTCTGTTCCAAATTGGATAGAAGTCCTTATAAAGCAATAGAGGAATGTGTGTGTGGTATTGTCCCTTATCTCTGTAATTTTTGGTTTCAGAGTTTTGAATGTTTTGCGACATTGGGTAGAACGTCATTTCTATGATTTTGAAAGAGACCAGAGTCTGCTGCAGAAACTGCACAACTTTTTGGAGAGGATTCAGGGTAAAGCCATGAGGAAGATGGCTCGTTCTATCACAAAAGTGATTCACAGAAAGGTCAGTGAAATTCCTGTTTCTTTTTTTCTTTTTTTTTTTTTACATTAATTTATGATGAATATTTGTCAAAAAGGAATCTTTTTTCATGATTGCCTATAAAATCTAATAATTCTGTCTATTTTGCTTCTATGAGACTATCTCTTGTTTTGAGAAATCATCATTGAAGATGTTTATATTCAACCTTTAGTAGATTTAGTAATATTTTCTGCTAGTAATAAAACCATATTTGAGATATCAGTAATGAATATTTGAACCATTTTGAATGATTTTTATTTTACCTTTAATTGTAAGTTTCATACTATTTTAAGAAGAATTACTAAAAGCATTGTCATTATTGTTTGTCACTTGCTGGATGATACAGCTTTCATGCCTTTGTGATTTAGATAAAGAATATAAAAGAAAATATTTATAAAGAAAATACTGTAATACTGTATTAGATTTGTTAATGTACATAATTTTTAAATTTAATATCACTTCAGATGCTCTGAAGGAATATATCAGTCATATTTTGTTATGTTGGTTGATAACTGTTAAATCTCATTTAAAGTTGGATCTTTGGTTTAACTTGATCTTTTGTATACCTGTGTGTGGAAAGTTGGATGAGAATATGATGGAATAGTATATATAGTTTTTGTTATGTCTAACCTAGATCCTCACAAAGCATGTGGACTCAATGGCATCCCTGTAATAGTCATTAAGAAGTGTGCTTCCAAAATGGCTTCTGTTCTCTCTAAACTGTATAATGAATGCCTCACTAGCTTTATACCTCTTTTGGTGAAACTCCTAGAGGCCCTAATCAATGCTAAATTAGTTCATCATCTCTCATTGCAGGGCCTTTTCTCAGACAAGCAATATGGCTTTTATTTCTCCAAGTCAACCACTGATGTACTGACAATATTTACGGAAAGAGTTTATCATGCTCTAGATAAGAATGGTGAAGTCTGGGCTGTTACATTGGGCATCTAGAAAGCCCTTTACAGGCATTCAGGTCTTCTCCACAAGCTAAAAAGTTACAGTGCCCCCAGACACTTTTTTGACCTGATTCAGCCTTTCCTCTCAAATCAGGAAATGAGAGTTCCTGAATGACCACTTGTCTAGGCCCTTTCATACTAACATAGGTGTCCTCTATTGATTTTCATTAATGACCTTTCTGAAGACATCAGCTCTCAACTTGGTATCTATGCTGATGACACAACCATTTACTCCTGCCTTGATACTAAGGCTGATCAGTCTGACAAGGTCAAAATGGGAGTCAAAATGGCTGCCTTCCATCAACATGGCTGATGTTATCCTCCAACAAAGTGACTTATTGTGCCTTCTCGGGCTCACATTCTCTGCTGATATTGAATGGAAAGAATATATTGAATCCATTGCTAGGTCAGCTGCTAAGGAAGTTGTTGCACTATGTCAAGCGAGACAATTTTTCTCTCCAGAATCTATCTTACATATTTATAGGTCTACCATTCATCCATGTTTAGAATATTACTGCCATATATGGTCTGGTGCCCCTGCTATTTACAATCCAAAGAAGAATTTGCAATATTGTTGATGCTGATCTGGCGGCTCAGTTCAAGTTACTTTCCTACCACCTTAAGGTTGCCTCTCTGTCTTTTCTATAAATACATTCATGGTAATTGTTCAAATGAGCTCTTCACTATCCTACCTAGAGTTTTTGAATTACAGTGCAGCACTAGACTGGTGTCGAGATCTCGTCAATTTACAGTTGAGCTGGTTAGATGTAGCCATAAATTCTATTGTAACAGTTTCTTCTCTCACACTTCTTGCTTCCAGCTCCATGCTTTCCAGCCAACTTTAATCTTCAAAAATTTAAATACACTGTCAATTGCTATCTACTGTCCTCCTGATTACTCTCTTCTCTTTCTGATCATCATTATTGTTTCTGTTCCTAATTCTTTCACACTCTGTAATCCCTTGTGTTTTAGTGGCATTACTGCCTTGCTTGGAGTGATTCTGATTAAAAAAAAAAAACAAAAATAAAAATTAGGAAAACTCTTATTTTGACATGTTTCTTTGATCGAACATTATCATAAGAAAAATAATCTTAATCTTTTGTATAGGCATACGTGTAGAAAGTTGGATAAGAATCCAATATAAATATATAATACAAATTTAGAAAAATTTTGACATTTTTTACCAATGAGTCTTTAGAATTTGCAGTCTCAAATTTCAACCTGATGAAGAAAATACTTTGAGAATAGTTTTCAAATACTGTGCTGTTCTAATTATATTATTTATGGACTATGCAGAAATCTGCAAACCGAAAAAGAAAGTATAAATTGTCACACAAAAACTAAGCTCATTACCTACAAACTACTTATCTTGAAAGAAATTTAGCTAATCTTAATATAGAAATCATCACAAAAAATTTAATCAATGTAATTTTACATGAGAAACTAGAAGTTACCAAATACAATATAAACAATGCCTCATAGAATACATTGTTCACCAATGTATTCTATGAGGCATTGTTTACATCCCAAAATTAAAAGAAAAGAGTATATGAACAAAAAATGAACTTGAAATTTATCAACACACTCAATGCACTTGAATGCCACTAGAATCTACATGATCACCATTTTGAGCTGGAAAATGGCATTTTAATAAAAAATGAACATATTTTACTCAAATGAAGATACATTGAATGTGCAATGATCTATCAGTCACCTATGATATTTATACAACTGGGCTATTTCAGTTTATCCTTTGTTCTTACTAAATTAGTACTGAAACAATGTGGGATATATATAAACTTTAAAATAAATAAAAAAAGTAAAAATCAAGTGCTCAGCCACTGAATGAATCACATTTTGCCTCATTAATAGAGATTTTGTTAGAATAAAATTCTCATTCTGATAATACCAGTTGATTGGTTAAACATGTCAAAATAGGAAATTTTACAGATTGTCATATATTTATTATATACATGTATATAATTTGTGTGTTTGTATCTAACTTTATTAACAATTTGAATGTTTATAGGTTATTTTTTATTTTAATCTTTTATATCAATTTTTTGTTTATATATCATTTGTAGTTTATTGTGTTATGAGACATTTACTTTTGCAATGTTAGCCCCAAGTTTTTTGCTTTTTATCGGACAGGAATGATTGTAACAGTTTCTTTTAAAAAATTAAAACTATATGCAAACTCTTCTTGTTATTCAGGTGGAGAGCAGTAATACAGAGAGGGGGACAGTCCTGCAGCGGTACCCACCTCCCCCTGAATGGCATCTCACACACAATAGTAACGAGTTTGATCTCATGAATGTAAGTTTTCTACAGTACTTCATCTCTACACAATGTTTAACCTATTCACTTCCTTTTTGTTTTCTGCTTTCATTCACTTGAGATTTCAGTTGAATCTTAACATAAATTTTATAAAGACAATTCTGGCCTTTTACAAAGTGAATGACTTTTTTCCATATTGACAAGGTTTTATTTTTGTCTCCAAAAGCATTAAAAAATCATGTTATTCTAGCATTTAAGTAAAAAGTATTTTCTTTTTTTTCCCCGCTTGGTGAATCAGCTTCATCCTATAGAAATTGCCCGCCAGGTGACATTATTGGAGTTTGACCTTTATCGAGCTGTGCAGCCGTCAGAGTTGGTGGGTAGTGTGTGGATCAAAAAGGATAAGAACAAAACCTCACCCAACCTGCTTAAAATGATCCACCATTCTACAATGGTCAGTCAGTTTTGTATTTTTTTGTGAAATGATTCTAAAATCTAACATATCTTCAAGTGAACTAAATCATTTTTTATGTTACAATAATCCAAAAACTATATATTTTGCTAAGATATGAAGGTTTTTCTTTACATTGTTGCTTTTTTAGAGTTACACTTTTCTGACACAGTGTAACTGGAAAAAAAACTTTTTGAAGTATCCATTAAATAGTTGTTCCAGTAGGCATTGATGTTAAAGAGGAATCAGAAAACTGATTGAAATAATTTCTTGATTATAATGGTTAGTAGCATGGAACATGGAATTGGGATACCAAGTTCAAGCTCACCCTTCACATCCTTGGGAAAGGCATGAATCCATTCACTCTTTCCCCTGCTACCGACGTGAGTGAAGTAGAAAGGCAGCATTGTTTAACAACCAATTTAGGAGACGTAGATGACTCTGAATACAAACCAGGAAGTAGAGCACTTATTGAGGCAACCGGCAACGTCTTGTAATGGGTGAAGAGCTCAGTATGATAGAGTACCTAGTCATACACTGGTCATACCTGGTCCATCATCAAAGTATTGATAATGTCCTGCCTCTGGATTCGGATAGACAGAGGCAAGACAGTGAGCCTGATGCATGCAACTCTTCTTCACTATAGACCAAATCAAGCACTTGTCCTAACTTTAGATGGTCATGCTTAGCTTTGACCATTAAGGATAAACAGGTTAATGATAATGATGATGGATATAGCCATTATCTTTGCATCTCCACATTATTTTTCAAGACTTTACATTTTGTTATTAAAATTGATGCCATCTTAAGTGTTAGCTCTCAATAACATGATGCATTTGCTAGTCGTTATAAAGCTCTCTTAAGTACCTCTTTAAATGCCTTCAGGATGTGGTTGACTTACTTTTATTAAAATTTATTGATATGGCATTCACTTATTTCTTAGTCAATGCCAATTACATCAATTGGCCAGTAATTTACCACTCATAAAAGAAAGAAAAAATGTGTGATAATTTATAGCCCATGTAATTTGTTGGTGTGCCAGAATATTTTATCATATTCATCTGTTCTTTGTAAATAGATCTTTGAGTGCTATGTTGAATATTATACTAATTATATTTAATATTATACTAATTTATGTTAATACATTTCAGTTCACTTTCTGGTTAGAAAAATGTATAATTGAGTCGGAAAACTTTGAAGAACGAGTAGCTGTGGTGTCTCGGATCATTGAAATCCTTCTCGTATTTCAAGAGCTGAACAATTTTAACGGTGTACTAGAAATCGTGAGTGCCCTTAATTCTGCTCCTGTGTACAGGTTGGAGCATACGTTTGAGGTAAGTGATAAGAATATTTCTCCTATTTATTGTTCTGATAGCAAATTTCATTAAAATGTCATTTCATTGCTGAAGATGTTAAAGAGGAAGGTAAAAAATGTAGTACTATAACTTTCTTTATTATGATTTTTTTTGTTGTGTAAAATAGAAATTATTTATCAGCTGCATTTACATAAATATCAAGCAAATTGAAAACACACTAAGATATGATTGGTGGGCTTATGACCATATTATGTTGAAACACTGGTTCTCTGCCAATCACCAAAGATAAGCAACGTTGAGCTCAGTCAGCACTTAGATGTAAACTTGCAGGTGATATAATGGATAATGGCTCAGAAGGAGAAATCAGTCAAGTCTGAATTTCAATCAGGTTTGTTATATTCACTTGTGTGCAAATGTCCTTAAGAAATGTACGATTCCTCCTCCGAACTATGGGTTAAATATTAGGACTTGTATCAAAAAATCATTATTATGTCCAAAAATTTTAACAATTCAAAAATATGTTTTAGTTTTAAATTACCTTAAAAAAGTCGCTAAGCTGTATGACAACAAATTGATAAAAATACAATCAATGAATGTTGATTGCATTCTAATTTTGAGTCTTCTTTTTTGTCATCAATTTGTTGCTACAGTTTATAGTATAAATGTAAGGCATGGATTGCAACAAAAGAAATATCAAGTTGCCTGTATTCAATTTGATGACAATAAAACTAGTACTGACTTTTCTTGCTACAAGAAAAAGAATGCAAATATGTGTAAAAAGTGTATCAGCCTGGAGCCATGTTCACCAAAGTTGTGTGCACACACAAACACATACACAAGCAAAATACATACCAAGAAGAACAATATTTTGCAATCAAAAATGCATACATATGCAAATAATTCATCATAAAAAAGGCAAAGATTTAGCAAAAAGGAGGATGGAAAAATAGGTATTAGTATCAAGTAGGAAAGAAAAGTTTGAATAATTCTTGAGATCAGTTATCATTGTTGGCAGAGCAAAAATTCAGGTCCGTTAGTTGGTGAATCAGAAAAATGCAGCTTGGCTTAACATTTGGGGATCAGAGAACCTTGCTGAGCTGATCTGACAATTTACTGAACTTAAAATATGCAATTACTTTTTGAGACTCTTCAACTTGTCATCTGCAATTTCAGTCACTATGACAGCAACATGTTTAATGGATTTATTTGTTTCTATGATGAGAAAGGCTATCTGTTGAAACTTGACTGTTGTTTACTTCATATTTTACTTTCATATATTCTGTGCATATACAGATAAACAAAAATAATTGTTTCTTTACAAATCATTCTGTTTCAATTGTTTTGTGATTTCAATACAATAAACACAGGTCCTGAAAACCCTGAAAAGTCCTGGAAAATTAATAGGGCATTTTCCAGGGCTTGGAAAAACAGTTACAGCCCAAAAGCTCCTTGAAAAGTCCTGGAATTTTCTAAATTGGTCTGTCTACACATCCTTTTTCTCAATACAAAAGTTAAAATGGCAAATCCCACAAATCTGGCTATTTTACAAGCTAAAATTATGCTTTAAGAAAAATATTTTTTTTAGTCATCAGTAATATTTGGCAATTATTGCGAACAGTGGTTTGTTTCCATGATTAAAATGAGTTCATGACCTCATAATTAACTTCTGTATTTTCTTGTCTAGGTGAAAGAAAGGAAGAAATAATAGAAAGAAAGAAAGAAAGGGAGAAATAATAGAAAGAAAGAATAATGTCTAAAAAGAAAGGGAGAAATAATATAAAGGCGTGTCTTCTAGCTGCTACCCTCATTCAACAAGAAAAGAGGAAAAGCAAAGATAATAAGGAGTCAGAGACAAATGTCTCCATCAAAGATAAATTAATTCACACTCATTGAATTTGTAGCTGAAAGGAAAATAATAAATTATTTTACAGTAATACATTTTAGTAGAATCTTGAAAAATTTATCAGTATTTTTTAAAATTTTAACAATTGAAGTAATGTTATTCATATGTCAATTTCAAAAGTAAAAAGTCCTTTTTATCAGTGGTGGGAAAGTTCATGCTGAAAAAATCAATACTTTATGTGTCCTGTGTCAATATGTATCTATGTGTAAATTACATTTGTCTAAATTGCTGCCAAAAGTAACAAGTTTGAGAATCAAATTTGACTCAAAAAAAATGGGAAGGATGATAGAATAGAAAATGCATCTTTCAAAAAATGAGAAGAATGTTATTTTTAAAGTTTGCAGGCTAATAATGATTTCTATCTCTAGCTTTTGTTGTAAGGATAAAAAAAAGACAAAATATATTAAAACTTATTTGGCTTTTAAACTGCTTAGCTTTCTATTAAAAGTTCAATCTGACAACCCTGTTCCTTTACTTTTGTATTTCTGCCATAGATGACTAGAATATTTACAAACATGTGAACAATTCCTAGATTAAAAAAACAGAAAAATGTCCCCAGACCAAGTCCTTCTCTGTGGTGATGTCAAATGTGACTGACATTTTATTTTCAGTGAAGCTGCAGATTTTTGTGTCTGTTTCAAAAGACACTGAACTGTTTCTGATAAAATATCAGGGCAATAAACCATTGCTTCCTTTCCTTGCAGATGATCTTTTTAGCGTGAAACTGTTAAAATTTGTAAAGGAAGAGCACACTAAAAAGATAATTACATTTTTTAAACTGTGGAAATAAAATGAAAACAGCAACCAGTGAGTAAATTCAAGCTCTCCCAACTGGTATTCCAACCTCGAGTGGTTCCTTCTTGAGTTCTGTCTCAAAATCACACTAACAGACTTTTCTAGCCGCCAACCGTGAATGTCACTCAAAGCACCATGCACTGGGAAAAATTAGTTGCTTTTATATTTGTCCATATACCCATAATCCCTTGCGTCTTCATGCGATCCCATAATTCATTGCGTCCCTGTCCCATAATGCATTGCATCTTTATTGCATAAAAGATTATTATTGCATGCAAGTCTCCCCTCATTCTTTTACATTATCTGGCCGAGGACAGATTACGGCAGAGCGGTAAGTGCTTTTTTCTCCCTCATTTCAACTGCAGTAGCTTTACATGTTAAGCAAATACGGGCTCTTTTTTGGTAGGGACAAGGCAAGTCGCAACCAGTTGTGCTCGTCCCAGGTTCTGTCTCGTCACGTCTGCCACATAAACTGAATGAATTTCTAAGAATTCTGTTAAACCAAAACATGCATAAAGATGCTGCAAAGATTGAGTGTGGATTTCTGGTAGATAGGGATATGCAAAGTTTATCCAAAAAAAGGAAATGTGTCAACAAAAGATCTGTTTGCATGCAGAATTGCAACAAAAACAATGTTCATAACCATCATTGAGAAAGTTCTGGCAAAATCTCCCCTTAGATAGCCTCTTGTAAAGTCACTTGCATGGCTGAACCCTGGATCCATTTGTGAAAAAAAAATTGCCACAGAAGACAGTCTAAAAAGATGTCTTTCCCACATGATTGATAGAGAACAAGTCATCACAAAGTGTTTGAGGAGGTGACAGCTGGAAATATTGCTTTCAAGAATTTCAGTAAGTTTGAAGGTCGGCTGGACACTTTGTTCTCTTTTTTGTCTAGAAACAAAGAATATTAAAAATTGTGGAAAGTTGTTTGCAAACTGCGGTACTCTCATGGAAAGAGGTTTTTTCAATATGAAACAGTGGACTCTGGTTGCACAGTGCATTGTCATGGACTATTTGGACACAGTTTGAGGTGCTGGAAACAAGTAAGGCTTTTGCAGTGCTTCCAATGCCAGAACAGTATACAACCAACATCTTGAGGCTGAGAAAATAAAAAGGCAAGAAGAAGCAGCTGGACAAAAAAGGAAATCCATGCTTATGGAAATTGAAGAACTCTGAAGACCAAAAAACATAAGCACAAGTTGCACACAAGATTTGCTCAAGTCAGCTGACAGCTATGTGGAGAAAGCTGAACAAATTCAGAGATTCATACTTAATCACAAAGTCCAATGCCACACAAAGATCTGCAAAGGACAAATCCATAGAGATATCAAAATTGGAAGAGGAGCTGAATGCTAAACTAGATGAACTGAAAAAATATTATCATTGTGTTCTGTGCCATGAACAACAAAATCAATGTGTAGTAGAGGTTAGAGTTGGTTGGTTTGGCAATTTATGTTTCGGTTTCTGTTTTTTTTTTGTCCTTGATTCGATTCTGTTTTTTTGGTTTTTAATTTAGTATTTTTGCTTTCTAAGGAAGCCATTCATTTTCTTGTGTAATGATAGAATTTCCAGTCGATATCTGATTTCATTTGAGATTGATAAATTTGCAACTTAGTTCGTTCAACTCACAATTTCTTGTGTATTTCTGGTCCAATCTTAAAAATATTCATATGGCAGGAAAGAAAAGAAAATAATCTTTCTAAATATGTAATTTGTATGTGCTTTCATTCATTGAATTATTTTTTTACAACAATTTAATTCGGTATTTTGCTTCAAACTGCTGGAAATGTGTAATATGATTTTTTTTTCAAGACTAAATTTTACATGTTATTTTGTTTCACAAAATCAAAATGACCAATCTTTATCAATATTCTTGAAATTGTACACTCAATTAGAAGACACCTTAAACTACAACCAGGAAGATGCAAATTCCTTCAAAAATTATAAATTAAGCAAATGATAGTAATAAATGTGTGGTAAAAGAACTTTCAAATTATTGAAACTACTCTCTGACACTGTATGATAGAGAGAGAGTTGAAAAAATTAATATAAGTTAATGAAGCATAACGAATTGATTAGGAAGTGAGGATAAAAATAATAACAATTAAGGATAGTTCGAGTGGTAGTAAAATTGAGGCTATGAGTAACTTAATGAAAGTAACGGACTAACCGGAAATATTGATAAAGTGACTAGTTTAAGAAAAAGGTTGGGAAAGAAATTCTTCTTATTTCTTTTTTTTTTTTTTTTTTTTTTTTTTAAAGAGGTCACTGAAAATTTTATCTGCTGTTTATTTTTGTGGACATAAACAATAAAGGGCCAGACATCTTGGGGACCAATAGTTCCAGACGAGTGACTGACCATTGTTAGAAAAGTTAACACGTTCTGATGAAAAGGCTACCTGAAAACATGTCTTGGATAGTGATTGGCTGTTCCGAGGCTACCCCGAACTATGGCCAATTCTATCCTGATTGCCCACAGAGTTAAGGGGAGTCGAGGGTGGTCAATGGCTGTCCTGTTTGGGTGTGTAAGTGAGAGTGCCCACTAGTAGGAAGTGAGAGAGGAATTAGGATTAGCAGGAAGATACAAGTTACAGTGGTAGGAGTGCTGCCCGCAATTGGCCGTAGCAATTATGCATGGAGACCTCCGAAATAACAACCCCCACCCATTTTTGATATAAGCAGGGGTTTGGGCCATGAATGATAGAGTTGCAGAGAGTTGAGCAGAGCCTTCAACACTTTGATTTCTTCACTGCTTTCAATTGATCCACATGACATGAATTATTGGAACTAGCTCTAGCTTTTCTTTGAACATCTGTCAAACTATTAAAAGGTAAATCACAAAATCTGTGTTTTAGAAATTTATGACCATTTACTTCTATTGTGTTTGTGTCAGTCAGTCCTTGAATATTCTTAACATAATCCTTGAAAAGTCCTGGAATTTTTTTCTTTACAGATCTGTGGAAACCCTGTAAACAAAATCTAATGTCAAAAATTGTTATTTTTACAACTTTGCTTTTCCCATTTTCAAAACAGCATCTTATCTTAATTACGTTATAGCAGTTCCTGTAAAATTTTAAATATCTTAAGAAATATCTTGTAGCCACTTTTTCTTTTGATGAGTGGAATTTATTCTCCTATAATATGAATTTGTAGTAACAAAAATGATAGATTTGCACTATGTATAAAATCTCTGACATCTTCATTCCTCTCTTGTCTAACCATTTGGTTGTGTTATTCCAGGAAATCCCCAGCAAGCTAATCAAAGCATTTGATGAAGCAAAGGAGTTGAATTCTGACCACTTCAAAAAGTACATTGAAAAACTGCGATCTATCAATCCTCCATGTGTTCCCTTTCTTGGTGAGTTTCTCTCTTTGTAAAATCTTCTGTGCCAATTCTCTCTAGAAATCAAGTTCTATTGTTTGATCCGTTTAATGGACTCAACCAATTTCAATACAAGGCAACATTTATGGAGCACCAATTGGTGAATAATTTTCAATTTCTTAAAGGTGCTAAACTTGGTAGAATTAACTTTATTAGATAAGATGAGAAATAAATTACAATTTGTCCCATCTTTTCTCTGGTTAGAGAAGAAAGAAATTTGTTTGTGCAAAACTGCTTGCTTGTTTGTCAATGTAACATGTGACTGTGCTTTTGCTTTATACACAGGGATGTATCTGACCAATATTCTGCTAACTGAGGAAGGCAACCCAGATTTTTTGCCTAACCGACCAGAAGGCATTATTAATTTCAGCAAGAGGAGGAAAGTGGCCGAAATCACAAGTGAGATTCAACAGTACCAAAACCAGCCTTACTGTTTCAGGGTTTTAACCTCAATCAGAGTAAGTGTACAAAAAATGACATGCTGGTTATCAGTGTCATTAATTTTGCAAATATTCTATCTTGTCAAGTTAAACCTTAATGAAAAACACTTTTTCTATTTGGCAGTCATGTAGCCAAATAAGCAGATGTGATATAAAACAGCTGACTACTTCATTTTTGTTATTTTATGTAATAGATCTGCATTATTCTGATTGGCAAAAGAAAGTTTTATTCATAATAGAAAAAAAACAATTTTTTTTTTTTTTCAAAGCAACCATTCCTTTGTAGATTGGGATAAGGTCGGAACTGGAAAATGGCAAATGCCTACTGGGAAAAATCATTGATTTTATTTTGTATTTATCAGCATTTGTAATATAAAAAGATTATAAAAATATCATAGATTATCTTAAACAAATTGCTTGCTAAGAAACTTGTTTACAGAGAAATCACTTTATTCAGATGTTAACATGCTAAAGATTAATTTTTACTGTTATTGAATTTTGATTTTTTTTGTTACATCTTTTTTTTGGATATACCATTCATTTAGCTTGTCAGGTGTTAGCTTCAGATTTTTTGTTTAGTATTAGCCTTGTATTTTTTTCTCCTTTGGCTCTAGGTCTTTAGTCATGAACCTTCCTTTCCTGCCAAATTGACCACATTTACCAATTTCTTATTTATGGAGTTAGCTTGAATATCACAACACATTTCTATTCTCTAGAATGAAAATAATGTTATTAAAAATTCTTTTAGTAATTCTTTTAATGTTACCATGTCTTTCCTTTTAAATTTTATTTTCAGGAGTTCTTTGTAAAACTCAATCCACTCGGTGACCTCAGTGAAAAAGACTTCAATGATTATTTATATAACAAGTCTTTGGATTTAGAACCTCGTGGAGAGAAACAACCCAAGAAATTTGTAAGGACATTTTATTTGTTGCATTTATCTTTACACTTTCTTATTAGTGCAAATTTATTTGATAAAGAAAAAATAATAAGCAAGTTTGGCCCTTTCCTTCCATAATGGTTTCTGTCATAAGTGACAGTTGATATAGCAGCTGTTGCTGTTATGGTTTGGGCTGAAAACTTTTCAACCCCTCTCTTGTATGTACAACATCTTATCTGCTACAAAATGTGTTTAACCTTGTATTTTTATCGTATCTATCATATTTGATGGCATAAAAGTGTAGCAGCCATATTTGTGCAGCCCTATTGGGACGTATTTTATTTCTTAAAGTGAGTGTTATATAAGAAATGTTCAGTGTTTGCCTTGAACTTGAGAAACATTCAGTTTTTAAGTAGGACTTGAGAAAGTGTTGGTGATTGCAATGACTTGTGACTTTAGATTTGAAATTATTTGAATCCATGAGTTGGTAATTGTACATTGAACAACAACAAAAAAAAATTTTCCCCCTCCAAAATGACTAAAAAAATATTTTCTGTGTCTTATATGTGAAGTAAGATATTTTGGTTAATGTTTACCTAGACTTCTTTGTATTTAGCCTAACTGTATAATACTGAAATATGAAATTGGGTAGAAGTGTTTTATATATCATCAGACATGGAAGTTTTTGTTGTTGTTTCTTCTAAAAGTCAGTCTGGTTGTAGATTTCAATCCCAATACTGGCTACTTTAATTGTTTTACATATTTTATTCATGTACAGATTGAGTTTTTAGAGTTGATTGCTTTTCTTTGAATCTTTTCTTTTGGGCAGTTATAATGAGTTTCAATTAACAACATTAATCATTGAGCTGATAAAGAGGGTTTAGAGCAGATGCTTAATATGACTTAATATTTATGGCAACTGACTGTCATTAACTTTCGGACATTCTTTTCAGTCTCCTAATCACATTAAATTTAAACTGACAGCATACATTGCTTCTAAATTTATAATATGAATGGCAATCAAATTTATATATATTATATATATTTACAGATATTTTGACTGTCAGTTGTACAATCATTGTTACTTTAGAGTCTTTCTGTTTCCATAAACAAAATCATAATCATCATCATTCTAAATTTTCCATATTATGTAAACAGAGATTTATAAAATTGGCAAATTTCTGATTGTGATCAATATTCGTATTTGATATTTTCTTATATTTAAAAAAATGTTTTTACAGATCAAGAATCAGCCATTAACTTGTACTTGATAATCTTTACCCTATGTTTTTATCACAACTCTCCTATTTAGCCAAGGAAGACAGATTACTCACTGAAGTCTCCTGGCATCAAGCCCTTAGCCAATCGTCACAGTGCATCAACTCGTAATCCTTTCCAATTTGTACCATTCGGCCACACCCGTATCAGTGAAGAAGAACCAGAAGCAATAGGTACGCTTCCTGCAACTCCAAATACTCCATTAACTCCACCAGCTACAGATGTCTTCTCAAATTCATCAGGTGTCTCAGGTGAGAAATCTTTTACTTTTTCTTTCTTTTAACAATCACTTCATTAGACGTACATACACTCATCTCTGTCACAAGGACCAGCAAAAAACTTCTACATCAATTTTTGATTCTTTCTCTCTCTGCCTTTTTGCAGTTGCAATTGACTTTTTCTTGGTAAACAATTCACCACTTGTTGAAAAGCTTTCTAATTTGTTTTACAATCTGCATCAGATATCTGCTCCCAAAAGAATTCTCACATGATTTTGTTTCTTGTTAACATCAAGGTCTGTTTATAATGTTATGTTTTTAGTTAGTTGATTGTAGTTCTTTTCTGGTGTCAGTTTTTCATTTTGAAATTGTTGGGGTCTGGATAGCTGCAGACAACAGGATCAGGAATACATGGAAAATGTGAATGGGTGCCAATAATGGGATGATTAATTGTTTATTTCGTTATAATATACAAACAAAGGATTGTTATTGCTCACATTAAATGTTCTTTATGTTAGCAAATAATTTCTTCCCTCAAAAATATATGAAAATAATTTTTCTCTGAAAAGGCGAACAAGAATTTCTGCTCCTATGTAGACAGTAAAAAGAAGTAAAAAGTTTTATTGCCAGGAAGAAGTAAATTTGCATAGTCGATTTTTTGTTCATACAAAATGAAATTATTTTTAAAAAATAAAGTGTAAAAAAATTAGGCACAGCAGCCTATTACTTAATGATATGTAGTTCCACCCTTTGCCTGAATAATACCAGTTACATAATGTGGCATGGAGTTTACAGGATTCTGAATTCATTGCAACAATCTTTCAAATTACCATTTGGCTATGGGTTGGATTTATAAAACAAAACCATCAATAATTTTGATTCACTTTTATATATAGTGACACAGCCAATATGTAAAGCCTATATAGCAATTAAGTGGATGCCAAAATTTCCATTTTACATTTGAATGAATATAATGAACTAATATATTGAATAATGCAAGAAAGTCAAGGTCATTCACTAGAAATGACATTGACCAGAGCAACAGTAGTTCTTAAAAATGCAATTTAATTTTAATTGTAGTTAGGGAGAAATGGATTGTCTGTGGTTAGGAATCAATTCAAATATTATTGACAACATTATTATAACAGTGTTTTTGGCTGTTGTGTCCTCTGGGTAACTGTCAGTGAACTTTGAACTCTACTTAATCAACAAGAGTAGTGTAGTATCATATGCAAATAAGAATGACAGTATAAATAGATATGAACAAGACCCATTTAGCGAACACATTTGCTAAATTGTACTACGATTGATACTACTCAATGAGGGAAATGTACGTCATAACAATGGCGTTGCCGATAGGATCCTTGAATGCGCTGGAAGATCCCAAACACATAGAGACATAGATCAGAACTTTTGTAGCATTTGTAAGAGTAAAACAATTGAGAGATACCAAGACTGAAGGAGGAGAAAACAAGATAACAGATTTATTTCTTGCTACTGTTAGGTGTGAAGCAGTGAAGAAATTTTCGACAATGTTTTACCCGAGCGAATAAGAACAAATGACATTTGAAGAAATTGTCAAAGTTTTCAAAGAAAAGATTGGTTGCTGCTAAAAGAACCAAGTTTTTAGAGACAAGTCAAGCACCAAATGAGTTCATTATACAGTACTTACATAGATTAAAAGAACGTGTTAAGTACTGTGAGTTTGAAAAGTTGGGAACTCGGGAAATGACCATAGAAGATGAATTAATTCTTCTCAGAATAATTGAAGGTTTGCAAAACCAGAACCACAAACAAAAAATACTGGTTGCTTTACAAAGTTCTAACATGACTTTAGAGGCTAGCATTGAATTTTTACATAAGTTAGAGTTGATTAAAGAATTTAATCAACCAAAAGAAGAATTCGAGGCATACAGGATGAGCACAACCAAGTCTATAATTAAATGTAGATATGGTGGAAAAAATTACAAGAGAGACAAGTACAAATGTTCCACGTTAGGAAAAGTATGATCAAATTGTAAAAAATGAGACCATTTTCAGAAAATGCAAATATGAAAAGAAAATAGAAAAAGTACAAAAAATACAAACCCCCTCTGAAGAAGAGGATGAATACACAAAAAAGAAGGAAAGAAAAAATAAGGATAAATGGCCAAATATTTAACATGCAATTTGATTCAGTCAGTGTAGTCATGCTGATACCAAAAATTTTGGGGTCAAATTGGGACGGCCTAAATTTAAAAAAATCAACATCCAGTTGAAGCAATTTGATGGAACAACTATAAAAATAATGGGTACATTTCAAAGTAATTTTGAAATGGATACGCGTTTTGAAATAATTCCTATTAACAGTGGTAGAATACGAAAAAGATCACAGATTAATAGGACTTGATGTGTTAAAAGTGGATATGGCAAGATTAATCAATTCTATGGAAGCACAAGAAAATGAAATTGGAGTGTTAAAAGTTGAATACTTACTTTATAGTAAGTATTCAACTAAAAGAGAATTATCACCCAAAATATATAGATTCGAGAAAGTTCCAATTCATATCCTACCTTTGGTAGTGGCCAAGTTAAACAAAAAGATACAACAAGGCATACTAGAAAGAGTGACTCAATGTGGTAGCAATTGGCTATCACCAATAGTAGCAATAAAGAAACCTGATGGAGATTTAAGGATTTGTGGTGATTACAAAATAGGGGCAAATCATCAGATATGTTCGGACTCTTTTCCATTGACAAATATCGAAACTGCGAGCCACGAGTTAGCGAAAATAGAATACTTTGCAAAAATTGATCTCAAGGCAGCGTATAACCAAATAGAAATTGATGAAAAATTCAAGGAAGTAACTATGATAAACCACCCCTACAGGCTTGCTAGGGTGGACGTGTCTACTGTTTGGGGTAAAGATGTTGAGTTATATTTTTCAGAAAGCAATTGAAAGAGTCTTATTAGGAAAAATAAAAAATATGATAATTTACCATGACGATATATGTGTAGGGGCAAGAACCAGAGAAGAATTGAAATATAAAACAGAGCAAATTTTAGTGAGATTGAACAAGGCAGGAATGACAAGTGTAGTTTTGACTGCAAGAAGATATCATATTTAGGATATCAAATATCGAAACAAGGCATATCGCCTGATGAGAGATTAACAAAGAAAATAACAGAAATAGCTCCTCCAACAAATAAAAAGGAGTTAGAATCCTTTTTGGGGCTGATAAATTTTTATAGCAAATACATTCCAAGATACAGCAACGTAATTACACAAAAAAAAATTATGAATTTAACTGGAGACAAGAGCAAAGTATCGCTTTTGAAACAGTAATGAAAATACTGAGGAACAAACCAATAATAAAAGTTTTTAATCCACAAAAAGAAGTAGCGTTAACCATAGACATGAGTGAAAAGGTGATTGTTGCTGTTGTATCGCAAGAACACCCAATCATGTACATATCAAGAAGGTTAACACCAGCCGAGATTAACTACTTGAATATTGAAAAAGAAGCATTAGTGATTATATGGAGCATGGAAATGGCACAAATTTTTTTGGTAGGAAAGAAATTAAAATCCAACCACAAACCATTGGAAGTCATATATTAAACCTGAGAAAAGAATTGCCAAAAGTAACATCATCAAGGATTTTGAGATGGGTGATAAAGATCATGGCATTCAATTTTCACATAATATATATTAAAGGGAACACTATTCCTCATGTTATCAAGGTTGCATTTCAAGAATGAATCTGAAGAAAAACAGGAAAAGGCAGAAGACAAAATAACACTGAGTTGAAATGGATGTTCTTCCTCTAAATAGGCTCAAAATAGAGACAAAGTAAGACCCAATATTAGGCAGAATAGTGGAGAGAATAAGAAATAATGTATAGAGCAATTGTTTGATGGCAGAGCGACCCTTTATAGTAATGAAGCATAAACTGACCATAGAAAATGACATAATATGCAATGGAGATATAATTGTAGCTGAGGAGGGACATATTAAAAGGAGTGTATGATGACGTGCATTGTGGCACAATAGCGACACAAAAGAGACTAAAGTTGCAAGCTTGGTGGCCAGGATATTCAAAAGATGTAGAGGAGTATATTAAGAGATGCCCAAAGTATGCAGAAATAAAAAATTTCAAGCAAATAAAAATTCACTCATGGCCCAAGGAAGCAGAGCCGTGGGTTAGGATCCACATGGATCATGCACAAAAATGGAACAGAGCAGGAAATGGAAGAAAGTGAGAGTGAAAAGACGGACGAGAGTGAAGAAGAAAATGAAGAAAGATCAAGATCACCATTAAGAGAAAGAAAAGAAAGAAAAGAGCACAGTACGAGAGTAATCAGAAATAGTAGTAGAAACAAGGGTGTCCAGCCTTTTCGGTTTGGGGACGTGTAGTATCGTGTATGCAAATGAGAATGACAGCATAAATAGAGAGCAGAAGGTGAACAAGACATTAGTCAACGAACCTGTTTGTTACGATTGATACTACTTGGAGAGAAATACATATCATAACAGGTAGATTGTTCTAATTTTGATGTCTGTGTCTCAGGATATCTTGTCTTGTTCTTAGTAATGATCAATTATTGCTCACCCTGTTTCTATCAGTCTAAGCCTGTCCTACCCAGCTCATGGATTGAACTCAATTAACAAATTCATAAAATGTTGCTTTAATCCATTAGTCTATTGACTTGTGTCTTGTTTTATGTCACATATTTTGAATGGTATGATTTTAGAAGCTCTTAAATGTTTGTTTTTTGTTGCATAATGTCAAAATGGATTAAATTTTAATGAAGCTATGAATAATGCAGAAAATAGTCTGTTTGTCCTTACATTTTTGTTTTTTCTTTGCAGGAAATTTCAGCTCCGCATTCAGTGCTCTCACCTTAACCTCTCCTCAGGAGGAGGATATACCAACCTTATCGCCTCCACCCTTGCCCCCTCGCCAAAGAGATAGAGACTCTTTATCGTGTAGCCTGGACTCTGTGCCTCCCATGCCAAGCTCACAGACACCCCTTGAGCCTCCTTCTCTACCTCCCAGGGACAACCGTGATAGCATCCCCCCACCCGTCCCTCCCCGACGGGACATTGCTTATGGGTCATTAACACGTGCACAGAGCATGTCTTTGTCACGCCCGCCCACCCATACCCCATTTAGTTCCACTCTCCCAGGCGAAACTCTGAAAGGAACTATCCATCTCCAACAGACTTCAATGTCAATGGGGACAACACAATTCCAGAACTGCCTCCCAAGACCTACAAACACATTCACACCTGGCAGCAGATCAGCTCCAACTGATGCTTGAGTTGTATGGATTATTTTGGGGTTTTTTCTTTCTTCCTCCCCCTCCCTTTTTTTTTTTTTTTTTTTTTTTTTTTGTTAAAATCTTCCTCTGTTGATGAAAGTTTTGAAAAAAAGACACTGGACAACAAGAGGAGATAAAACATTCTTTTTGGAGTTGGGGTGGGGATGATGACAAAACAAACTGTCATTCATACAAAAGAGAAAAAAATGCTAAAAGTGACAAAAATATTAAAACGGTGGATTATTAAGGATGATTTTTTTTAAATAAAATATCAGAAAGAGAAAGAATTTAAAGAAGAATAATTAAGAAATTGGAAACTATGAGAAAGAAGAATGAAAACTGGAAAACCTGCCTTGTCACACCCAACTGTAAAAGTGAGACGGGCCACTACTACTACTACTACTACTACTACTACTATTACTGCTGCTTCCCATCTTGTTGAGGTGCTTATTTTGTGGAGTAGGCAGCACCTTTTTCAGCCACTCCTGCTTGCTTTAGTCTAGCTAATGCCAGCACCACAACTACTACTACTGCCGATGCTGCTGCTGCTGCTGCTGTATGAAAAGAAGAAAAAATGGAAATGATAAAGAGGCAGCCAAGCAGCTCTGTCCACTGCAGACTCTTTTCTGTCTTTTATTTGCAGGGGCAAATGAAAAACAAAATAAAATGTGAGGATGATAATTAAAAAAAGAAAACATTTTAGACATGAATGGAGAGATTAATAAATAAATAAAGTAAGAAAATAAAAAAAAACAGATGATTAAGCATTAAAGAAAATGTTAAAAACAGTCTCACCATTTCATCTAAACAGACACTTGGGAGCAAAAAAATTTTTTCTTTCCAGGGGGAAAAAATCCTTGCAAAAAAAAAAGTAAAACAAAAACAAATATCAAAACAAGAAAATATCACCACCACCATCACCACCACCACCAAAAACTAAACAGTTATTGGTGTGTGGGGATCGGCTAACAGAAGGGATTTGAAGAAGGAAAACAAAAATAATCAAATAATTTTTATTTTTTAATTTTTTTTTAAGATGGGACTGGGATCCTCTTCCTGCTCTCTCTTTGCTTCTCACATATACCCTTCCCAAATGAAAAATGGGATAATAATGGGGGTCTGATCAGTTCCCATCTCATCCTACCTGTATTCCCCTCCCTACTTCCTCTTGTGTACACTGGCATGATTTTCTTTTTTTTTTTTTTTGTTTTTCCTGTTGTGAAAATTAATTTGTGAAGACTCATGGGATTAAAAGAAATATTAGCTGGCTGCAGCTGGTGGGTGGTGGGTTCTACTGGCTGCAGCTGGTGGGTGGTGGGTTCTACTGTTGATTCTGGGTGTTCTGTTCAAAGCTGATATAACAACTAAAAGTTAAAAGGAAGGAAAAAGAAATACATTTAAAAAGAAAAGACAAAAACGTTAAACAATGGACATCCCAGCAATTAACTTTTATTTTTATTTATTTTTTCTTTTTAAATTCTTGTTTCATTTCTTAATTTTCTCATTTCAACTGGGGAGTGAAAATGAGATATGTTTTGTTAATTTTTTTGTTTTCAGTCATCAGCTGGTAAATGGTATGTTGAAATAGAAAAGAAGAAAATCCCAAATGCGCCCTTCTCCCAGCCAACCATCCAACTAAAACAGTGCTTAATTTCTTGCAGCAGCCCTTACAATGATCAATGTACATTCTGTTTGTGTGTGTGTGTATGCACACACACGCACACACTACAAAAATAATACAAATGTCAACTTTACCTTCACAAAAAAGCGAATGTAGTTTTTTGGCTCCACTCCCCCCCTTACCATGTGTATCCCTCTCTTTTCAGATGGAGTATTAAACACACAGACACTTATAATGGTTCTGTAATTTACAATAATTTCATTAGTTATTTTTTGAAATCTGTATCATACTGTGAATATGCCTTATTTAAAACTATTTAGTATTAATAGTCTTTTTGATGTTGTAAAAAAAAAGCAAATTTAAGAAAACACATGAACAGCCTTTTAAAGAGCAGAAAATATATTTAAAAAAATCTACTGATGTCTTTATTAATAGTAAAAACAAGTTGATATCAAACCTGCTAAGTTTGGACATGTGACCACTTTGTCATAACACCTAGATAGGGAAAGCACAAAAACAGTTTATTGACAATTTTCAAACTGTTCGTCTCGCATGAAAATTTGTCTGTGTTTTTGTTCTTTTCCTTTTTTTCTTTTTGTATTTGTTATCAGAAAGATTATCAATGCTGTCAAGAATTTTGAATAAGATGTATTGGCAGTTACAAAAAGGAAAAGAAAGCAGCTAATCATTAAAAAAAATCATTTAATTTATTTATCTTTTTGGGGAGGGGGGATAGATATCAAAGCAAGCCCAGTATCTCTTTAAGATTCTGCATCTTTCTTTGCAAAGATTAAAAGAAAAAAAATGTTGTCTTCTTCCTACTTTTTTCAGTTATCATTTACAGCTGCAGTTTTCTGTTGATGTGCTGTGCAGGCTTAAACCGGTGCCAATGCCCTTGGCCTCAGATCACGAGACCATTGCACAAAAAAAAAGCCTTAGGCTGCTGCTGCTGCTGTTCCATTTCCTCTAAAGTGAAACAATTTACCAGTTATCTCCCCTTTTACTTGGCCCACTGTACAAATTCCCCAACCTTCCTGTCATTACATGACAGTTTCAACTCTCAACAACACCCATTTTCAACTGACTCTTCCATTTACCTGACTTCTGTTCCAATTGTCCTGATAATTACTCATTGACTGATTAGTTTTCTGACTTCTTTTGCACTTTGAAAGTTGGTAAAGGATCTCTCCCTCTCTCTCTCTTCTGGTTTACATCTTTCTTTCTTTCTTTCTTGAGTCTAGGTTTTTTTCTCTCTCTTTTCCAAGCATCAGCTGCCAGTAAGCCTGTGTGCATTTGCTTTTTATGACAAGAATTTGGGTAGAGAAGATAGTAAGATGCAATGTTTATCAATGCAAAAAAGAAAATGAAATTAAAAAAAAATAACTCTTATATCTTTTATTTTCAAATAAAAAAGAAATCTTTGAAAAATGTTTTTTTGTAGTCACTATCTTCACATCTGTTGCCTTATGTAGTAAAAAGTCATGCATATAACACGCAACGGGGGCACCAACGTGGTGTAATGGTTAGAAAGTTTGTCTTGCTAGATCAATTACGACTACGTAGTGAGTTAGATCCTCACTGAGTGCCCCATACTTTTGGCCTTGTGCCACATCTAAGCCAGGCTTAGAAAATCGCTATAACACGCAACGGACTAGAGGAAATTTCTCTTATGATGCTCAGTAGTTAGAGCATTAGATAGGAAACTGCAAGGCTCAAGTCCTTGTGTCAAGTAGGTGATACTCAATTCTAATTCAGGAGAAGGAAAAAAATAACTTCAAATTGGAGCTAAAAAAAAAGTTTTTCAGTGGTGTATTTTGTACTAGTAAAATCTGTGATACTCAGATGGTATGGGTGTAAAAAGAAATTGTTCCATGTGACTGAAATTTCATTAAATTCTTTCAGAAAAGAGTAATTAAATCAGTGTGGAGAGTAGAATTGAGCTGTACAGAATTTGGACTTTGCTTTGTGTTTACTTTTAATTCAAATCATTTTAATTTGCTACTCTTTAGAACCATTTAAAAATCTGAAAAAGGAAAGATGAGTATATCCTTTGGCTGTGTTAGTTGTCTGTCACTTATGACCAGATATCGTGCTTCCGTTTTGTTTTGTGATAATTACAAGTGAGGCTACTTTGAAGATTTCATGAGACAGTTTGATGTTTTGAACAAGTTGTCAGCTTCCAAGCCGTCAACAGCAGTTTTGCTAAGGAAGTCAAAACATGAAGGCCTTTGAAGCTAAAGCCGCAACAGTAAAGCAAACAAGAGAGGAGACCCCTGTGTCCATGAATGCGTGTTGTATTGGTATGATTGTTGTGGATCATTTACAGTGAACTTTGACACGTCGGATCTTATATATACTCTTCACTGAAAATGTGCCTGTCTGGTTGATAGTAAAGCTGAGGTTCACTCTGTTGTTGTGTGTGTGTGTGTGTGTGTGTGTCTGTACAGTTCAGAGTTATTGTCCATTTTGCCTTCCTGGTGGCTTGGTTTCTTGTCCTTTCTCTGACTTGCTGATGCTTAGATTATGGGGATAGACAGTATGGCTCAACTAATATAAAGATCCTACTCTGACTTAAAAGTTTTTGAGCCACTTTCTCTCTTTCTATTCTTTTTTGCTGACTCTGTTTTTTCTCTTGTAGTAATCATTTTCTTTAAAATATCAAGAAAAGTGTGCTTTTCTGCATTGCTCCATAATGTGTCTCTTTGAAATATTTCCAAAAATAGAACTGAGCTTCATTGTGATTTGAACTCAACTGGATGAACTGGTGATTGGGTTTGTTTTCTTCTGAGAATGACATTAGGAAAAAAAATTCCTCTAAGAGAAAAATGTAAGTTTGGAGAAGAGACCATTTCTTTCTTTCTTTATTTTTTCTGGGAGCTGAAGATGTTAAAAATGTATGATTTGGTGAGGAGATTTTTTTTTTCTGTTAATTAAATTTTTACTTTGAAAGATGCTTCCTTAATTAAAAACATACTTTCTTATACTTTTTTGTTGAAATTTAGTTCTGAAAAAATCCATCACTTCTACTTGTCCCTATTAGTTGGGGGACTAGTAGTAGTAATAGTAGCAGTAGAATTACAATAGGGTCAGGCTTACTAAAATAATGATTAAAACTCTCAAACATAGATGTTTGCATTTATGGGCCTGATACTGGTCACAAAATTGGGGGAAACGATAACCAGTTGGATATTGAGCCACTGCTTGTGGGTCTATAATATAACTGACCAGAAAATGGTGCCTTGTCCCTCAAGGCCAACATGGAGTCCTGCCTGCCTTAGTGGTAGATGTCTATTTATTGGTGACAGTGTTCAAGCCTTTCCATATATGTATGTCAGTTTCTTTAATTCCTTATGCTATTCCCCCCACCCTTTCTCTTCTT